ATTCTTGGTTAGTTGTGTAGTTAACGGACAGTAGAGCATCCTGGCCTTACCAACGCAGATTTTATGTTCGCAATCCCGGCGTTGATGATACTTTAAGCATGCAGGGTGATTTTCTACTTTGCTGTAGGGTGAAACAAAAAAGTTATATAAATATATTATGCAACAAGTGCGGTAAACGGCATTTGACTCACGAGTTTATTTGACACGAGCGGAACGGAGCGGAGCGAGTTTTTAATAAACGAGTGAGTTAAAAAGTTAATCGAACGTGTCATACTATACTTTTTCTACGACCGTTAGTTTAGACAAACGTCAAAATTCAAGGCGTGAGAAATATCTCCGAAAACATCCGATTGCTCCCAAATCCGTGCGGTAAAATCCCGGAAATGTCTGAAGTGGCTCGGATTCATAGGAAACGAAATTGACGGGGTACAATGACGCTTCCCGCAGGCTAGATAGGTGGGTAATTAGGTATTTTGCAGACGGGAGTAGAAAAATATTTTTTTCTACTTTAATCGAAATTACACACTTTTATTTCTTGATGAAAATGTGTCCACAAAGGTTAGCTTTCGTTCTCAGTAAATATATTCTCTTACACTCCCGTACGGGAGTTGCTATAGAGTAAAACTTAAAAGTTGTCAATATTTTTTTTCTACTTTAATAGAAAGTTAAACACTTTCATTTCTTAATGACAATACGTTTTCAAACGCTAACTTTCATTTTCAGTAAAAATATTCTCTTGCTCTTCCGTACGGGAGTTACTATAGAGTGAAACTTACAAGTTGTCAAAACATTTTTCTACTTTAATCAAAACTTCAAACAATGAAAGTGTGTAAATTTACGAATTTTTAATTTCACCGTATAGCAATGGAATTGCAAGAGAATATTTATACTGGAAACGAAAACTAACCATCAAGAAATGAAAGTATGAAAAAATATTTGAAACTTTTAAGTTTTACCCTATAGCAACTCCCTTACGGGAGTGTAAGAGAATATTTTTACTGAAAATGGAAGCTAAAAATATTTACAATTTTTTAGTTTCACCCTATAGCAACCCCCGTACGGGGCTATAACCGAACATTTTCTCTGGAGACGAAAGCGAAAGTGCTCTTTAATTTGAATCAGTTGCTTCCTAAACTTTTAGCTGCTAACTTCACCTACATACATACATCATATTTTCAAAACTTTTTTCACGCTTTTTTAGTAATAAGGAATTTTTGTCCTCGCAATATAATTTTATCTTATGTCGACCATCACTAAGCATTACAAGGATCCTAGTTTCTGGATGTCATGGAATACTTGTAATTTGATACTTACCAGCATCTCCAATTTGAAATCTGTGGCGTCGAAACAATTGACAATTGTTGCAATCTGCTCTCCGTTTTTGGCTTTTAATGTCCAAGTATACAGGGCGATCTTCTATTTTAAATTCGCGAAATCTCTAGTTAGGAAATACTTTCAAAAGTTTACTTTTCACACACCCTCAATAAGGAATTCCAATCGTATGATCTCACCTTATGTCGGTCATCAGGAAATCTTTTAATGGCTTTAAAGGAATTCTTCAACTACAACCGTTTCTTGCTCTCATCAAATACTTGCTTTTTCGTTGTACCAACATCTTCAATTCGAAATCTCTGGCTTGCTCTGCTTGGTTAGTTTCCAATCTTGACATTAATGATAATTTATGACCTGTCCATTTATATAGCGCGATCTTCTACTCTATAATCACGATATCCATCCCTCGTTAGAAACATTTTCAAAAAAGTATTTTTTCCCAAACCCTGAATAATAAGGAATGCATAATTTCACCTTGTATCGATTATCAGAAAGTATTTTAATGACTTCAAAGCAATTTTTGAGGACTGCTAATTTCTAGTTAGCACCAATATTTCCAATTTGAAATATCTAGCGTTGAAACGATTGCTAATTTTTTCGATCAGATCTCGAGTTTGGATCAGTTGTGTGGTTGGCCCCAATGTGGAGTACACTGCCACTATCCCAAAACATACTTTATTTAAAATAATAAATTATCTTTGTCGGCGAATAATAATTAACTCAAACGAGGAAATATAGACCAAAATGCAATTAAGGGTGTGGTTAGATCTAAATGAATAAATATGTCATCTAAGCAGGCTCCGCTTTCTCTGGATCAGGCTTCATATAAAGTGTATTGAGGAGTAAGTGACGAAAATAAATGTTCATTGATTTCTACCCACATTTTTACTTGTCAACCATACAAGAATTTTCTTGGGTTAAGTAGTCCGATACAGAAAAGCATATTTCAGCGATAATCACTGATGGCGAAAACTATGATTGATGGAAAGCCATTCAAGTATATTCTTTATTCCGGATGAACGATGATGAGAAACCAGGTGAGATGAAGAAAGAAAAGATGCATCCTTAAATGTACTCAACGAAATTTTTAATAAGTGTTGTTGAATTTGAAAGGTTCTGCAAAGGAATGAAAAATGGCACACTTATATTTCAAACATATCAGGTACTATACTAAGTACTCTAGAGGTATCAGTGTAAAAGCGACCATTGTAAGACTGTATGGTTTTATTATTATACAACACTTGGAATGGAGAAAGTAAATAGGAGAAGAGCAAAGCAGGCGATCCCGTGTCTACAGCATCTTTGTCATTAATCAGACCATAGAAAAAATACGAGTGGGGAATCAACACATCTTATTGACTTGGACTTGGAAAAAGGATATAGACCTCCAGAGAAATTGATAAAAAGTTCAAAGGGATATAGAGAGATGAGAAATAGTAGAACAAGATTCGCTTTTTTTTTTTTTCGGTAGGAAACTTTTGCAAAATGGATAACAAACATTTACAGTTATTAGAAACCGCCTAGAAAGTATTCATCCAATTCTTGCTGTCTGAACGCTTGCCAAGAAAATACTTAACCTGCGTAATAAATACTACCAAATTCTGATGGATTTTATGTGAATGTTTACACTTCTTTGTCACTCGGTATACATTCAAACGTCCACATATTATGTAAATACCGGATACAAATAAGAAACATGAGGAAAAAAAGCACGATCTCTGCGTTAGTGCCCGTACATTCGAGGAAAACAACACAGAAATCGAAGATAAATATCAATCAAGTTATAAGTGGCCATATTGTGTACATTAACCGCATATCTGACTAATTAACAGGTTGGTACGAACCTATTTATGGACTTTAAAACGTCCGGACTATAAATGCTGAGCAAATATTGGTCTTGGTTTTCTTGAGAATATCTCGAAGAACTCAAAATTATCAATATTAACTTTGTTTTACCATCAGGCGCTCTTTGTTAAATATCATTCCTTTTTGTTTACATTAATATACGTATGCTGCGATGCACTCGCGCGTTTTGATTCGTGTTAATGCCTTTTTGACCTTTCGGTGAATCCTGATATGCCAAGGGTGGGTCCAATTAACTCAAAATTAATGGACAACTAAAATTTGGGTCCTAAATTGAAATATCAGTTGCGTTTGAAGATAGAGATATAACTAATGCTGATAACTTATCAAGCAACTCTGAAAAAAGGTTGAGAATATCCATTTACGCGCGAGATTTAAAATCTCGTTTTCAACCAAGAACCTTGCGGCATTCAACAATTCGTCAATAAAATTGGATGCTGCATTTTTAATGCAAAAGTCAGGGGTGTGAATATCAATTTTTTTTTAGAAAGAAAATGGAGCAATGTGTGTGTTAGTCAGTGAAATGTAGAGGCATGTGTGCAGAAGATCATTTCGATCTCTACGACAATATAGCCATCTGAGACGCATCACTTTTTACGGCAGTAGGGCTACTACATTGTCTAAGAGCTACATGCGTTATTAACGCAGTGGAACATTTATGGGATCAAATGAACCTTTCAATTTTTTTGTAATAAACTGCGTTTGACACAAAGTTGCATATTTCATTAATTAAATGTTTCTCGTGAGTTAAACTACAATGTATGTATATGTATATCCAAATTGAGTCATCAGTTCGCGAGAAAATTAACTTTTTTATTGACATAATAAATACGCAAAAATTAAATTAGATTTTTTTAAAAACTCTCCAACAGGCGTAATTTTTATTGATTGAAGTAGAAAATATTTTAAAATTTAATTGAAATACATTTTTTCTATTTTTATAAGGACATTTTTTGCTTCAAAATTATGTTCTATAACCCATAATTAAAAAGCTGTCATAGTGTGTCATTTTCTTGACTTGCTGGGAGCAGAGTGGAGAATGGTGCACCAATTTTGACCGTAGTAGAACCACTATGTTATCTAGTAGTTATATGGGCAGAATGTAGGCTCTATCAATACTTAGGGTAGAATTGTTGGGTACATCTCAGGTCGCTATGACATTATCCTATAGTATAGACATGCATATACCTACGCATAAATTTCAGACTAACCTATACATGTCGATATTTGATTGCTTGTTTTTCACGTTATTTCCTACCGAAAATATATAAGAGGAATATATCAATATCTAATAAAATAAAATGTTTTAAATATAACTTTAGCTAAAGTTTAAATAATGTTCGAAATTTTAAAATTTGTCATAAATTTTATTTTCCGTATTTCGTAATTTATGCGTGGATATTGCGCAAATGTTTCCTATTGGCCAAGTTCTGATTAAAGTCAATATTGGTGACGGAATTGTTGGGATTTCTACAAATAGCATTACTTACTAACACATACATTTTTCATAAAAGTGTTATCAGTATTACACCTTAAATAAAAATACACCTATATTACCTGCTCAACCCATATCCGTTCCCACACATACCGGTGTGTCCAAATATTTAGTTTAACTTTATTGATCGTGGGCGCTAGGATTTTTAAGATTTCCGCAACTTATTTACCGATCGAGCAGAAGAAAAATAATACATATTTAATGACAAAATTTTAATCCAAATCATAGACATATATATATGATATTCAACTAAATTATTTTAGAATCTTGTACACTAAATATGCTTACGTCACATGTAAGTGTAAATGTCTTACTTTCCTTCTTTAAAACGACATTATGTAATTAGATATGTAATTTACCGTTACCTCAAAGATTTTTTTCTACATAAAACTTAGATACGTATTTAGATGTAACATCCTGTATATATAAATCTCAGTATACGACATTCTTGTGTAATTTTTCATTGAAATGCGTTTCTTTGTTAATTAATTATTCCCGCTATCTTTTATTTCGCAGGAATACACTCAATATTAGACTGAATAATTCTGGCAGTGCTGTAGAAGGACGTTATTTAGCAATTATTTCAGACAACGATCCGAAGCCATTTTTAATCTTTGGCTTCAACAGGCTACTTTTTTTAATTGCTGGAAACGCTTATTAGTAGATTCAGGAAACATCAGCCAAATATTGAAAAACTTACATTTACACGCACTCGAAGTTTGAATCGACGTACTTTTAACTTATATATAAACTAAGGTATATGACATCCACTAAAATTTTTGGTATGTGCGTAAACTATAATAGTTTCTCATCGGCTGACATTCAATGCATAGTGACACAAGCATATTTTGTGTGATGTCATATTTAATTTTAATAGAAATATTTTTTCCGCAGATTTCATACGAAGGACCGATTATTGAACTGCCTTATCAGTGTGCAAAATAAATAAGAATCAGGTGCTAAATAACGTTCAATTCAAATCATTACGCATTTGGAAAATTTTAAACATGAATAAATGTTAGATATTATTTAACAAAAGGAAAAAATTAACCAACACACTACACAAACTACTTTGTATTTCTACTTTCTTAGCTCAACTATAAAATATCATTTGTGAGATTTTTTGGACTCCGCTTTCGGAGTTTTCATTTGCCGTCATGACTGACGTGAATATCTACTTTTACTGTTACAACTGAAGATTTTTTCAATATGCATTGAATATTATGGGAGACTGTATTTCATAAAAATCATAACCACTGGAGTCCATAAGACATTTTGTTGCCTAAGAACTAAGGTACCTCGAGCGAAAGCCCAAAGGAATTAGACAGGAACACCTAATTGCACTTTAAGTAAACACACTAGCAGAAATTTTATTTTTATTTTCAGTATTTAACAAAAATGTAATAGAACTAGCGTAATAATTCGGGTTACTTAACGATACAAACGTAAAACTAAATAATTTAATGAAAACATTATTAAAATCCTTAAAAGTAATTTATCACAGTATCTTGGTAATATGATTGTTTGGATCTTCGCCTTTAAAAATAATAGGAAATCTAAAAATTAAGTTACACCAGTTACAAGGAGGAATAGAAAATGCGAGAGAAATAGAAAGGAAATTTTTATTATCTATTAATATATCACTTGGAAAGAAATATCTCTATTCCTAATTGACAACCAACTTGATTTTCATAAATTTCTTAATAGTTTTTCTTATATAATCGAAAATGACAATAAAAATTCATGCATTTAAGGGTTAATATAATGTATTCATAATCAAATTGGTCTGCTGCTCTTTATTTATTCGTATATTCTCAGCTGATACCAATAAGATTGTGATACAGAAATGGTTGTCCTAGACTTGATTAAGTAACCTTTAATCTTGACTCAATTTGAAAAAAAAACCGTTTTGAAATTCTATGAATTTTATAATATTTACGTTGAATGATTTAACACGGACACTGGAAATGACTGGAAAATGACTTATCGAAAAGAGATTTAAGTATATTTTTTTATTTTTTTTTGGTTTCAAAGTTTTTATTTAAGGCGGAATAGAAATATTTTCCACATAACCTAAAAATTATTTATCGAAATAGGTGAAATCAGTAAAAGCGTTTAGAAATCTGTGAAATTCATGAAGGCTTGTAAAAACCTGGTGTATCACTTTAAATAAACAATTCCTTCCACATTTAACGGTTTTCTGAGTATAACGTGTGGGTTAGTTAAGAACTTTACACATAACAGTTACAATTTTAATTTTCTTATTGTGGTTATTTTCAATAAAAGTACTTATGAAAAAAAAAAGGTGAATGAATGAACGCTAAATTACTATTATGTTGCGTTATCACAAATTACGCATCGTTATTGTTTTTACGAGCCGCCCTTGAATCCTTTCTTCCAAACCGTGTCCTTCAGATAAGCGAGCTGTCCGTTAACCAGCAAGTCCTCGACCACGTCAGTGAAACCCAATTCGCTGGCTATCCGATACTTGGCGTGTACGGAAACCAACTGCCGGACTATATTTTTCATGTTCCTTATCTCGTTCGGTTTGTTAATATTGGCGTTTATGAATTTTCGGGAGATATCTTGCACCAGAGTCTCCCCGAAAGGATATACGCCCATGAACTCCTCTAGGTAGGTACTGTTAGTTCGGATTATGCACTGTTCAAACAGTATCGAAGCCCAGTCGGGCTGGAAGTTGTATGCTTCTACTAAAATACGCGACTGAGCGCAACTAAAATATTAAAAAAATCAAGGGTTTACTAATAATTTTTGAAATTTGTTTAGAATTCTGAGAAAAAAAAATGTATCTTTTGTGCTGCGTTGCTAACCGAACTAAGTAGCTTAGCCTACTAAATGCTATTAGGCTACTAAAAAATATGTAGTAAGCCTTCAAATATCAATCATAAATGAAACTCAAATCTCATTTTGGAACGCACCCATTGATCTGAACATTGAACTTTCTTCGCATTGCTGATTGCCTGATTCCCTAATTAGATGATATACCTTTTAATAGTTCCCTCAGCGAACGATATTTTGAATGTAAGGAAGGACCACAATAGCAAATGTGTGATTGCTTTTGGACTCATTTTCTTCGGGAAATTGTGGTGACGTGTATTTTGTCATGGAACGCTTAATATCACTAATGTGGAAATTATTAGATAGAAAAGCAGATGCAGTTTTAATTCTGGGTTCAGTGATTCGGGTTGAGATCGTTTTACGGCAAGACAATGTGAATGTGAAGGTGTTAGTTTTCAAAAGCTTCCATAAATAGATTTGCATTCACTGGTAATAGATAACTGAGAACCCATAGCTGTTCCTGATATTTGTGAATAAATTTGACTGTTACAGATTTTTGATTTAATATATCTGAAATAATGTTGCCAGTTTCAGGAATAGGGACTTTAGGTTTAAATGTAGAAGCTAGATATTTTGCTAGAGAATAGTTTGGAAAGCCTACTAACTACTAACAATAGGTCAAAGGGGTAATGCTGGCTTGTGAATCTTAGGAAGTCCATAGATACGTGGAATTTTGGAGTCATGAGGATCTACAGATTGCGTTTCATAGATAACGTAGGATCCTTCGTCAGTTGACAATAAGGATCCGTCTGTAAGAATGACCAGCGTAGCATTTTCTTTACCTGCTTTTAGAGTTACTTTGGCGGGATTAGATTTTAGAAACTTTAGAGCTATGTGTTCAAGCTTTGGATTTAGGGGGTTTGGATTTGGGTCAAATTTCTTTGCTGTTTGCACTTTGTTAAGGATAGACTCAACATTTGAAATCATTTCCTCTTTTTGGATAATACGTGAGGGAAGGACGAAATTAAAACCTTTTGCAAGAACTGATTTTTCAGTCTCTGATGCTGTTATATCTTTACACATCTTATCTTACATAGTGTTTAGTGGTGGTTAGTTGAGAAGAGTTTGATGGTTTCATTTGTATTGAGGTTAGTCTTTTAAATTTTTGAATGTGATTCTGGGTAGAAGATTTAGGCGAAGATTTTTCAGCTTTCTCATGAATCGTATTTGAAAGGGTATCGAACTAGGACAGCTACAAAATAAAAGCAATTTCAATATATAGAGAAGATTCTTATTGATTTGGTGTATTTCTTTACGTGTATGGTGAATAACGTTGATAATGATTGGCGAAACGTCAGGGATTTATCAACAGCCGACGCAGGAGGAATTCAAAACAACTATGAATAATATCACATAAATGTCTGTTAAAAATGGAAGAAGAAACAACTTAAAAAAAACTGGTTAAAACACTACAACAATATATACCGGAATGGAAAAACTGCAATTTACTAACAAACGATGCGAATGATATTTATTAAGCAACCAACAAACCCTCTTGTTCAGCTGTTTCTATTGAAAGAATTGAAAAAATATAACTTTAAAACATAAATTAAATACATATTTATGCAATGAGTTTTATTTCTACCCACCTTTAGCGGGTGTACTATATTATTTTCACCTGTAATTCTAAAAACTATATATTTTATCTGAAAAATGTTAACAACCCTAGTCCCATGTATGATGTGATAAATAAGTCCAGCGAGTAACTTAAAATTCACTCTCAGGCAACTGGCAACGTTGTTAGTTGTGGTGCATTTCACAAAAAAACAGTAAAGAATATGTAATATTAAGAATATTTAATGATAATGATTTAGTCTTGTGCAATTTTGCAGAAATGGGTGGTCCAGTTATTCGGAAAAAAGTGTACAAGACCAAAGCTATGGGATAGCTGGATCCTAGGGTGGTGAGTGATTCAGTTGCCCCAAATAGCTATCGTCATTTACAGTGGTACCGTTTTTTAGGGTTTTAAGACGTATATCCCTTATTAGTCAAGCTAGCATGTATCTTGGATTTTTCGATACAGGGTGATTTTGGAAATTTGGGCATAGTCCGTTTCCTTCTGGAAATTTCATTAGATCTATAATAATATAAATAACATTATAAAGGCTATTTTAAATACTAAGTCTCTCGGAACGTTTTTCTACCAGGTTGTCAATGAAACAATAACTAAAATGTGCAACAGTTAACTTAAATATGTTAGTTTACTGTCAAAATAAATTTGTTGTATTTATCTGCTGTATTAAATGTGCACCTTATAACTTTTCATATGTTATATATTATATTATTACATATGTGTTACATATTTTCGAAAGACATACAGAGTATTTTATTTAAAAAAAAAAAGACAAGTTTAGTTTATACGTCAAAATTTGTCAGTTTGGGAAGAAAACTAACTACGCCACTGGATCCTACGCTCAACCGCACCAAAAAGGGTGTCAAAAAATACAACAAAAATTCAAAATTACCTTGTATCTAAAAAATTTCAAACAACCGTTTGTGGTTCCTTCGTTCCAGAAAAAAAGCAGCTTTAGGAACATTTTTTCACACTATGCAAACGAAAAAAAAAAAACAAAGCTGGGAGCTGAGAAATTCTGGAAATTATTTTATGCTTCGAATCTCACCGCAAAGGACGCAATTGACATAAAAATCCAGTTACTAACAAAAGAACACTCTTTCAATTTACATTTAAAAAATTTTAATCATACTTTTTTGTTTCCTGTAGTTTATTTCAGTTGTTTTCATACAATATGAGCAAAATTTTAATTTCAATTAAAAGATAAAAAAAACAGGAAGCTAACAATAATACGGAAATTTGGTAATAGTTTAATCAACTAATTTTAATAAAATTTAATAAGAATTTATAAACCCAAAAAATATTAGAAAATAAACCTTCCAGCACTCACCTCAATTCCTTGGATATTAGTGAAACAACCTGAGAGTTACTTAAATGAAATAAACACTGTGCATTCGGCATAGAAGATCGAAACAAAGATTTTTGCAGGGCGATTAATTCTGCTTGTTTTACGGCGTTCATGGCCCTGGTCAGTTTCTCTCCCTGCATATGAAACTCTGTCGCGTGGGTATAATTTTCCATGAGCTTAAAAAAAAAGAAGAAACAGATTTTTTAAAAGAAAATAATAATAATTGCGATTGCAAATTAAAAACAAAGATATTGATTACATTAAAAAAAAAGCCTCCAAATAAATGGTCAATCAAATCTAATGTTATTGATGCTGGATTTTTGAAAATATGCAATAATGATATTTATTTTTTTATTTCAATATTTTCCGCATTCAATAGCACAACGAAAACCCTCTTAGCCGCCAAAAACAAAGCACTATGAACTCAATAAGCTTAGAAACATTTGATAGTTATTTACCTTTAGTTTAAAGTTATGTTAACAAGCAAGTTAACCAAAGATCTAGAAATTAGAGATTTCTTTTTCTTTTATAGATATTTTGATCAGTTCTCACCCATTAATGACCATCAATTTCATTAATCGTAGGTTTGCTTAGTCAGCTGTCAAAAATAGAAACAATAATGGAAGACTTTAAATTTACAGGAAATTTTTTAATCAAATGCAGTAATGTGGTTTTTTATAAAAGTGTGGAAAATGCTTTAAATACAGGTAAATATTCACTTTCCGGCATATTTTTATCTACTGACTTAAGTACCTACCTTACGTACCTGCCCTACCATAATACAGCTTTCGGATTCACCGACCAGGATCTACACAAAGGGCAACAAGGAAAACTGCGACAACTATCGAGGTATCGCAGTGACGAGCTCAAATAGAACGCGAATACACAAACAGGGAAGCAGAAGAACAAGCCGGCTTTCGCGCGGGAAGATCCATCGTTGGCCATCTGCTTTGCGTCACCCAGCTTATCGAGAAAATGACAGCCTTCAATAAGGAGATACATCTCCTGTTCGTGGGTCTGAAGAAGGCGTACCGCTAACAAAACTTTGGGAGGCATTAGACCAGACACACCGAAGCGTCAACATAATAAGACCAGTGAAAGAACTATATAGAAACTGCCACATTAAAGTCAAGGTCGGCCAAAAAATGTCCATTGGAGTTACAAACAACAAGGGACTCAAACAAGGGTGTTCTGTATCCCCACCCTGTTCAAGATACATCTTGAACAAGCGTTAAGGATATGGAAGCAAAAATGCAGAAATATGGGCATCCCCCTTAACAATGCGAATATATACCCTAAGCTTCGCAGATGACTAAGTCATAATGGCGCAAGACTACGATGACGTAGAATACATGACGCGAAAACTGATCGAAGAATACAAGAAATGGGGGTTGGAAGTAAACTTACCAAAGAGAAAGTATATGTGTATCGTGGAGCACAACGCGACCTCCTGTTAGAGGACGGTCAGGCTATCAAAAGCTGCGAAACCTACAAATACCTGGGAATGTACATATCCAGCAGTGGGACGTTAGACAACGCCATCAAAGAACGAAATAATCAAGGCAGAAAGGCTATTACTATGCGGAACACCTTCTTGTGGGACCAAAAAATCACGAGACGAAACAAACACCTAATATACAATACAATCATTAAAAGCATAGTCAATTACAGCAGTGAAGTCTGGCCACTAAAAGAAAGAACCATGAGAACGCTGGAGGCAACAGAGATGATCTTTTGGAGAAGAGCGGCAGGAAGGTCAAGAACCGAAAGAGTCCCAAACGAAACAATTCGCACAACCATGAAGGTGGGCCACACAATTTCAGACGAAATAAGAACAAAACAGTTAAAGTGGTACGGACACGTCCAAAGAATAGAAGACAAGCAACTGCCTAAACAAATACTTACCTGGACACCTACAGAAGAAGGAAGAGGGGAGGACCGAGAAAGAGCTGGAGAGAGGGCATCGATAGTGAAATACAATGGAGAGGACTGAACGAGGACCTATGGAATGACAGAAATCGATGGAGATTTGGAATCGGACGACGTCGGAGAAAGTTTTAAAAACCGATAGATATATATACTTAAGTACTTTCAGTAGATATTTTTTTATCGAGTGCAAAAACAAATTTATCCAAACCTGGAATGCTTGAAAAGGTCAATTTTGTTTGGTATTATATGGCAAAAGTAATTTTATTGAAATCTGTGTTGTGAGCCACCAAATACTTTATAATACTTGGTACCACAAATTCATTTGTATCTTTTTGTATCTATTTGTTTATTAGTCGGAAAGCTTTCGCACAGAGAGCCTTTCTTAGTTTTTTGATTGTGATCTTTTAAAATTTATTACAAAACTCAAAATAATAAACAACTAAAACAAAAAAAAAAAAACTATTTCAGTTGAATTTTAAATATTTAAGAACGAAGTGTCTAAATACAGATTGTCTTGACAATTTCTTTGAATTTTTGTTTTATCCTACTCCAATTCAATGTGAACGAGCTTTTTAAAAAATTTTTTCAATCATATTTGACTTGTTGAAAATCCTTATTTTTATGCAAATGTTTTTATTGATACCTATAAAGTATTTAAAAAATTACAAGTCGTTATATTTTATGATCTTTTTTATTATAAAATTATTATTAAATATTAAAAATATTACTACACTATTATTTTTTAAAATTAATTTTGTTATATAGAAACCAATAAATAAAATAATAATGCTTTCTTTAAACTAAATTGCCTCTAGCCTATAACGCCGACGCTTACTGTCGCGTCTCGTTAAATTGGGGTTCTCTGATCACGCCGAAAAGTTTGCCTTGGTCAAGGTGTGACATTTTCTGTGACTTCACTGATTATCGCTCGAAGTTGTATTCAAAACCTGCATGAAATGAATGAAATTCTAAACAAACCTAACCTAACATGATAGGTTAAGTCATTTATTTTGTATGGCTTTACAATAGAAAACAAATTTTTAATATTACAAGCACGGATGCTTTTGAAGAAATAGCTGGCTTATTTGGAGCGCCAACAACTTACGAATGTTTCCGAATTTCTCAAATATTTAATAATAAACTTATTTATTGACAACTTAGAACTTTTTGTTTATTTTATTTCACACAGACAACGTCCAAACCTCCACTTCCAATCAAAATAACAAATTCAAAACGTTAAAAATCGAAATTAAAGGCATTGGAGTTTTAAAAGTGCGACTACTATTACTTTTATTAATATTATTGAATTTTTAATAGTTTTATTATATTATGGGCTGGGTATAGTATTTAGAATAAATTTAGGAATAACACAATTTTTAATATTATTCTTAGATTTTTTTATTTCATTAAGATTATTAATTAGGTCTTTAATGATTTCACATACTTAGAAAAATTATACAGAAATCCTTAAAATAGAGAAGATTTTTAGGTATAATTAATTAATATCTCTTTTCCTAAAACGTGAAAAATGTATATTTGATTAAAACATGGCGTTGTCGAAACAATTGTCATGTAAAAATATATAGTTTCGTGAAAATCTGAACTTTTAGTTCTTATTTATTTGGAACTAAGAAAGACTCTCTGACTAGAACACACTTCAACAACGTGAGATAAGCCTACTACTAATAAACAAACGAGCACGTTAGAGCTTTTTGACCTTCATACCCGGGACCTCTGGTCATACGCATACAAAATTCAGTTGGTTACTGTCGCCTCTCTTTAGATTGGAACTCTCTGGCATGGTTAAGGTAAAGAATTGTCAAATTTTTCTCATGTCATTTAGGTCATTGTGCTTTGTTTTTGGTGGCTAATTGTGGTTTTATTTACTTCGCCTAGACTAGACTATTTTAAATTAAAATCTTAGGAATCGGCTGGCGTAGTCAAACTGAACGTTTATAGGCCAGTATTAGCAGGCAGTACTTCATAGGCTTTTATAGACTTATAGTGAGTAAGAGTTATAGTAGTAAATTGTTTCTGTTTTCATTTGGACTATAGTTTCTTTGAAGTAATTGAGGATTTTTTTAACAAATGTTACCAAGAAGGAGCTGTGAATAAGTCAAGCCTTTTAAAATGGGGTGATCATGACACCTGTGGCAGGTTGTAAATGCATCTAATAACGCGCATATTAACACTATTGTTGGCTCTTACCTTGTTCAAACACCTCCTGGTGCTACTATCGTTAGGAAACAGTATATAAGGTTCAGTCTCCGGGTTCAGTCTATTGTTCTCCATATCCAATTTGGCGATCGCTATCAAATTCTGGATAAGTATTTCCGATTCCTGCTCCCACAAATCCGCGACTTCTGAGTAAAGTGTAAAATGCAACGCGACCATCTTAAAAAGCTCCTTGTTATCTGGGCAAAATCTCCGCAAATACTCCAACAACGCGTCCTTCAACGCGTCGTCCCTTCTCGAGCCTTTCCTCAGCAAAAACTCAAACTGGTCATGTTCCTTCAATATTTGGAACACATAGTCCATCTCTGAGTAACGCGCAATGCCAATAAACAGCCTCACTATCAATTTCCAACTCCTCAAAGTGACCAAGTGGGCGACCACCGATCGACATTTCCTCAATACCGAGGAGATGCCTTCCATGTTGCAGTCGGCGGTGAAACAATTGTGCGCGATAATTAACAGTTCGACTATCAAAGCTAGCTCGCTGATTTTAAAGTCCAACTCCATCGAAAGCTGCGCCTTGTAGAGGGCGTTCGAATAGCTGTACAGTTTGTAAGCCAAGCAGGACGATTCGTCCTTGAGGAGTTTCAGTATCAAATGGAACTGCGTGTGGACATCCACATTCCACAGGATGAAATCTTCCGTTTTCGATTTCACATATTTTAAGGTGGCGTTCACTATTTCTTCGCAAAACAAGTCTGAAATCTATTACAATATATGTATACCAAATTTTAATTCGAATTTCTTCAGTTAATCACAGTGAGCTGTCAAAATTTTTAATAAATTATCGATAAATCATCAGGTATTTTATTACAAATGCAAAACCGAGCACAATTCTGATATCAAAAACGTCAGCTTTTTGCAGTCTTTTCGACAGAAAAATAAAAATATACCAGAATTGGGCAAAGAAATAGTGCTCTTGCTCTTATTATTAATTCCAGTAATTGTTTGCTACTTAACATCAAAAGAAATTGATGGGTCAGTCCTTGGCTGGAAAATAAAAATGAAAAGGGGTTAAGGTTAAAAAAGAGTTTAAACATGACTCTGAACAAGATAAACCGTTTTTGAGGATGTCAAAAGAAAGTTTTGATAAAACACTGTGTGAAAGCCCATGTAAGTATAAATACATCAGGCTGCCCCGGTCACAGTTTACACTAAATAGACTTTGAATCATAGCACAATATAACTAACGCTAATAACCACTTTAAAAAATGGTCACAAAGTCTCAAAGATATTACGCAGCTATTTTTAAAACTATAGAACTTATTACAAATCCAGTTGACAAGAATGGACTTTACAATATTCTTCAATCATACATTAGTTCTAGAACTCAGTATGTATAGTTAAATGGGGCGAAATTTAAATCTACTACTATACTGATATACTCGTATACCTCAGGGATCGCACTTGGGACCTCTGCTGTTCTCTCTGTTCATAGCAGATGCGGGTGAATATTGTCGTTATCCTGATAAGCTATATGACTACTATGACTACTACGTAAGTATGATATCATGGAATAACTATAGACTACGCATAAAAACATTTTTTTTACTTTAGGAGTTAGCAAAGAACTTCAAGATCCCAAGTAGCTGATCATACTCTATACGCCTATGTGCAATATCATATCCCTATCAACCCATCGTCAACATTGAAAATAGTTTATTTTTCACATTAATTTCAGATATAACCACAATCTACTAGGTGTATCATAAAAAGCAAGGCTTGAATTCTATCATATTTTGAAATTATCTATTACGCGAATAGTATACAGTGACTTTCTTTTGCATAAATTGTTAATAACTGAGTGCATTTGTCACTAAATTCGTTTAGGAATCAAGTATAAGCTTTTAACTCAACCTAAATTTAATTTCTTTCAATTTTCTTTCTTTGCATTTTTTCTTTTGTCTAGAAATATTTTTACTTCTTTGAATTACGATAAATGTAATGATTCTTAGTGCAACTTTGCAAATTGTGACGTTAGTTCGTCATGTTACAGTACCTTGTTTTGAGGTGTTTGGGGTAGTTCCGTCATACTTCGTATCTCTTGTCACTTACAGTTCTGCCCGCTATGAAACGGATCAAGTTTGTCGTGCTATTAAAGCTGGTGAGTTAAAACTTGGTGAGTTCGAAGCGGATTCAGAACTCAAAATTATTTTAAAACGGGGTTAAGTGTTGGTATTGAACTACATCTGTTTTTTCATTTCCATTTTATGTTTCATAAAATATGTTTACAATATTTACTTAGTATTTTACAAAATATGTTGTTGGCAATTAAAGAATTTTTTTTTATTTTCTTTCATTTATTTCTATATTCATTTATATTCAATCGTCACCGCTCAAAGACAGATTTGGATATAATACAAATATGTTCCCTTGCATGTTTAACGGGATGTGGAAGAGTTAAAAGGTTAGACGAAGTGGTAAATATAATTCCTTCCTTATAAAACTTGAATTAAACTTAATAAACCAAAGAAGTTAAAGTAATGACTTACCTGTTCGTTTGACCATCTGAAGACCATAATAAAATCATGGACCACTTCTACTTTATTCATGCAATCGTCGTCGAGGGCGTCCTTGAGCATTTTCATCTGATCCGTACAAGACACCACCACGTAATAAGGTACTTCTATATTAATACTCATCCTGTACAACATTAAAATGGAATGCGCCAAGTCTATTCCATGTTCCAATTTTTCTATGAGACAATGCATTGCGGAAAGTATATTCCTGGACGACGAGCCATTACCCGAATTTTGTGGTTCTTTCGAATAATCGCAGCAGTCTGGAAAATACATCCAACCATTTTAAATAAACTGTCCAGTAAGACAAGACTATATGATAGTTCATAAGTATTTGAAAATTATTAAAATTTACCACAACCTAATGAATTATTTTAATTATTATCAGGGTTCGTGAAAAGACGATTTTTATTAGCTGACAAATTGTTACCTACTAATCTAATTATTACGAATGTAATATAAAAATCACATTATGTAGTATATTGGCTAAATAATAATGTAATAAAAAGGATTAACCATAAATTATCATTCCGTAAATATTGAAATGATGCTTTTAGATCTAAAGGATAGTTTCTTAAGGAATATGTCGGGAATATTCAACCATCTGATTAATTGGTAGAATGAAGTTGTCTATTAGGTCAAACACTTGTTAGAAAATGATTATCGCACCGTTACTTTTTACGCTTGTAATGTAATGTTTTTGGTCTGTCAAATATAGAACCGTTAGTTAGAAGTAGCGGTTTTTACACGATTTTTTTTGAGTAGTTATTTGTGCACACGTTTCTTTGAGGCAAGCACAGATGTATTTTTGAGCTTGAATTTTTTTTATAACCTTAAGTCTTTTAATAATAAGCCAATCATTAACTTACCCTTTTTTTAGATAATGAACTTGCCGTTGATATTGTTAGAGCAATTAAGAGAAACAGATTATACCATTTGAAGACTACACCATATATTGGAAGGGCGGTTAAAAAAGAACTTACAAAGGACGGTGTTTTTTTTTTAAAGGCTAATTATAATTATGTTTTATGGTCGTTTACCATTGGTACGAGCAGTTCAAAAGTGGTCGTGGGTCAATCGAAGATGATGAACAACAATGGTCGGCATCGAAAACTGACGAAAATATTAATAAAGTAACAAACATGTTGCTCGAAAATCGCAAATTAACCATCAGAGATATAGCTCGGGACTTGGACATTGACTATGGATCCGTCCAAGACATTTTAGTTAATGATGATAATGGTTTACGTCGTGTAGTAGCAAAGTTGGTACCAAAAGATCTTAATTTCAAGTCAGGTCAATCAATTTGAAGTCGCGAAAGAAATGATTTGCGATGATAAATCCGATCCCATATCAATCAAAAGCATTATTACTAGAGATGAGACATCAGAAAAGTGTATTTATCATTAGAAGGATGAAAGAGTTTTTAGACTGGCATATATTTTAAAGGTTTATGTATTCTTTTTCATATACACCTTACAGTCTTATTTTGGGAAGCAACTTGGAGCTCGTGAAAATCTTAACTTTACATTTAGTATTTATTTATATACAATTGTTAGAAATTCATAACAATAAAAAAAAACATTCTGATATTCACGGCCATGATATATGGTAGGATAATCTGATACATCTGAACATAAAATTGTTTAATATTCGTCTGAATCATATTAAAAATCTTAATCGAAAAAAGTTTAAAACTGTGCTTAAAGAAAGGAAGTCTAATCTGTAATAATTTATAATGTTCAGGTCTCCCTTATATTTAATATTATTTCGATCTAATCTACATGTAATTCCAGTTGAAGTTAAAATATTCATCTTATATCTGTCTAACTATCTATTTTTTGAATAAATTTACCAAGAACTTCGTGAATTTGATGAATATTTGATATAAAAATGGTGAAATTGCCAGCGTAAGATTAATATTATTTATATTTAGTATTAAGTTATTATTACCAGTTTCCGAAGCTTTCCTGGAACCCCGTTCGGCGATCTTATGATAATAAGTAAAGGAAGAAAGCATTTTTTTCTGATCGGCGTCCAATTGATCCAACCCAATCATCTTCTCAGCCAGCTTGTGGCAACACTTCAAAACGTCCATATCTGCACTACTATAATTAAAAATCTTCTCGACCCTCAGCGCCAACCAAAAGTTACCCCGATCCAAAGCTCTATTGATCAATTCACCGATCTTCGCTGAATGTTCGTCGGGTAACTTCTCGGAACGAGTTTCTATATTGTCGACTAACTCCAGCATCTCCTTGAAGGTTAGGTTTTTCACGTTATCCAACTCGGTCAGTTCGTTTATGTCGCCGAAATAATCTGGGACGGCGACGAAAGCGAGAATCTTTTTCTTTTCCAACTCGTACTGGCTACTAAGGTTGTAAATTTTCGACCACTTGTGGGACAACTTTAAGAGCACGTATTTTGAGTCGTTGCTAGTTATGCGTTCCATAAAAAATTCCACCGCGGTTTGAGGGGAAATATTTTGCTCGGCAAACTCCCTATCGCACTCGTAGAAGAAACCCAAATTGCTGGGGTCACGGTTTTCAAACTTCCACCGCCATTTTTTGAGGACGATAGTATCGGTAACGATATTGGAGCAACGTCCGATTTCTAACGCGGCCTCGAACAAATTTTCTTTCAACAGCCCGTTGAGCACGTCTTCAAGTGCACTTTTCTGAGTTTCCGCATCAAAATAACGACACATATCTAACTTTATTTTAGTGCCAAATAGAATCTTTAAAATTTGAGATAAACGGTAAAAATCGGGACACGATACATTGCAATATTTTTCGAATTTAATGTCACCCAGAGTCTCAACGATCGTTTCTTGATGGTATGTTGAGTTCGTGTTGAATTCGAGCGCGCAGGCCAAAAGTTTCAGAGAGGTATTTTCCAGCCAAGTTTTATTTTTGATGTAGGTCATCTCGTACTCCTTCTCACTCATCACGCTGCCTCTTCTCTGCTTTTTTGAATCTCTGAACAATTCCAGTTTTTGCTTTTGTTGTTCCGGATGCTCTATTCTGATTGCCGCAATGAGAAATTCCATGAAATATCTCAACGGATTCTCCTAATAAGAAACATCATGGTATAAAAAAAGACGGCATTTTCTGTAACTTACTGGAATGAAAATCAGCAAACTTTCGAGAAGGGTTTGTGGAAACCCACTTTTTATGCTACTTCTCAGCAAATCACCGACTAACTCCCCGGACATTGTCAACGCCTCAAAGTTGGTGAATATTTCATACTGATTGGTAGCTACGGACAGCCAGGCAATCCAACTGGTGATCACGGAATCAGGCTGAAAATCCCCCATTCAATTAGAGATTTTTTTTTTTTAAAAGTAGCTTTGTTGTTTAAACTAAGGATCCTTAATAAAAGATGTTCAAAACGAACGCTTTGGGGATTTGTGGTTGAACTACACTTTTGGTATATCCTGCGTAATCTTTGTACTGGATGTCTCAGTAAGAGCAACTAGGTCCGGTGGAAAACGGACGATACAAGAATTTGATTTGATTTTGTGGAGGAGTTCAAACATTTTCTTAAATAAATGTCCATATCTCCAAGAACTCGTGACGCTATCCTTCTTGTTATGTGTGACGGAAATTCGACTGCTTCCCTTGCCACCAGGTGCCGTTCAATAACTGAAAAATGAATAAATACAAAGATATAACATTTTTTAAGTCATTAGATAGTCAAATCTGGGCTCAACAACCTAATGAAAACCGCATCTCAATATCTTTATCCTAACCAAAAATATGATTGAACTTAACACACAAAAAAAAGTTGGCAACATTGGCACTTTACGGGTTTTTAATAAGAATTGACTAAATAAAAATAAAGATAATGTAAAAAGAAGTAAGATAATTAAAGATATTGTAAAACAGTAATCAAGATTACAACAAAGTAGCATTTTATTTGACAAATAATTAGACATTAATAAGAACCCGTAAAGTAGAATTGTTTCCCACAATATAACTTTTTTTTACCGTTAAGTTCTTTTATTCATATTTAAGGTTAGAAAGAAGATCTTGAGATACGGTTTTCACTGGGTTGTTGAGTCCTTATTTAACTATCTAGTGACAGAAAAAAACTCGTATCATTGCATCTGAGGCAATTTTTTTTGCGATTTTATGTCAGAAAAATCGTTGGCAAGATAAACAATCGTAATTGCGTCACTCATAGCACTATTGATAGCCTAAGAAAAACCCTTTTTAAACAATCCAAGTTTATTAACCTACATTAAGTCTTGTTGAAGATATGAACATTTATTTAAGAAAATGTTGGAACACTCTTAACACTTGCAGAGGTATTTGTTGCAGCTGTAAAATAGTACTACTTTAACTATGGTTAATATGGTCTGGGTGTTAAATATTTAAGGAAATTTGACAACTACTGATAGCTCAATAGATTCTGTTCATGTTGGTTGTTAAATGATACAATGTCTTATTGGTTAAAAGAAAGCTTGGAAATGACAAGCGCATGGGCATGTTGGCTTCAAAAATACCTTTTAAGCGTCATGAAATTTGCAAACCATTCGGCGTCAGGCGATTTTGGTTGGTTTTCTACCTTGCACATTAATACTTATAAAACTAAATATATGCAAAAAGTCTGCCCAACACGACCTCTCCAATAAAGCGGAGAAACGACTGTAAACAATCGGTGAGTCAACACGAAGAGGGAGGACAAATGCCAGTATTTCATAATGAAAAAGTGACAAATTAACACAAACCCTTATTTATAAGTGGCAAAATTTTATGGTGGTAGCTTCACTAAGGAAACAAGCAATCAATGTTTTGAAACGTCAATAGAAGGACATTTACAAATGGCCAAATATTGTTTAAGAGCCAAAAGTTTTCATTTTGTTTATTGGAAAATATACATACTGATTACTTAAAGGAGAAATTTGGAAAATCTGTGGTAAATAATTAATTAATCCTATTTTGCACTTTCTTCGACTTTTTGTGCAGTAGATATCTTGGTAGATATTGTGCATGTAAACATTATTGAATTTATTTTTTTTTGCTTTCTTTGATTTTTTTTTGCTACTGTTAAGGCAGCTTAACAAGCTTTTCATCTTGTTGATTATTGTAGATATTAAGCTGGCTCTTAGTATACTTCTTATAAACTTCATATAAATTCTGTTATTAAAGCAATCTGAAAATTTTTATAAATTTATTAATAACTCAAAATTTTGTATTTTTGAAAACCTCTTTTGGCCACTTTTAGTTTATATTGCTGGCCCATTCGGTGTCTAAAAACATTATTCGCAAATATTGCAACATTTTCTTAGTAGTTTAAACATCAAAATCTAAAACTAATATGACATATTTAATTGCACCAATCAATAAACTTACCTCATAACAAGTTGCCACGATGGCCAGAAAAGGGTGCCGATAAAGCTGGCACGCCTGCAAAAGGGCCCTAGGAGGATCAGTACTGTTATGGCAACGGATCAGAGTATGAAGCAAGGTCGTCTTGACATTCGAAACGTCGATCTCGATAGAATCGGAAGTGGAGGAACTGTGTCCGCTCGAGAGACTAAAACTCGATTCGGACTTGCTGTAGGACAACAAATCCAAACTATCGCTTCCAGACTCTATGTTCTTCCTCACGCCGATGCGAGATAAGTAATATTTCCTAGAATCTCGCTCTTTCATAATGGTGCTCGGTTCTTCTACGTGTATGTCGTGAATGACGCTATGTACTATATGCTCGCTAACGTTCGGGTTCTTGAAGTATGCTACCAGAGCCTTCACTTGGGGAATGGGATAGTTTTTCATCTGGGCATACAACAAGAACGGAAGCCACAAGTTTTCATATGCGCAACGTTTTAAAAATAATTCAGGCAGCGGCAAATTGGAAAGCACGCACAGTTTATGGACAATTTCGTAGTCGCTGACTGCGTTTAAGAAATTAGAACCCGAGCACAAACTTTTAAACTCGATTGCTTCGACAATCACCCACTCTATCAGATCCAGCACAGATTTCGGATCTTGGTCGATTTTGAGAAACAAAGACATCACGGTTTCCAACTCCACTCCTGAGTTTAACAACATTTCTGCAGAGTGCACGCACACTCTCAAATAATCCGAGCTCACTCCGATCATTTCCAAGAAAGCGATGCAGCTGGACGTCACTTCGATGTCGTTTATTTTCATTATGGCCGTTTTTAGTACCTTCTTCCTCAAAGTTTTGAGTCGCTTCGCCACTACTTTTTCGCTGAGCTTGAACCGTCTATAGGCGATACTCGGGCGACATTGAGTGAGATAGAATATGTAATTCACTTTTTTGGAATAGCCGTATTTCTCCACCATGCGTGGGTCGTTGAAGTGCGGCATCGACCCGCCACTAAACCGAAACGAAAACAAAGTTCCGATGTCGATATTTAGGTGCTTCCTCATCAAATCGTAATAATTGAGGTTATGTTTCATACCCCCCACCCATTTGTTGTAAATATTTGAAAAAATCTTATACTTGATGTCCAGTGCGCCGAAAAGCTGGGCATCGCCGACAACCAACGACTTTTGCGACATTACGTCGGTCACAGACAAATTTTTAGAAAATATAAGCAAACCTAACATTAATATCGGATTATCACAAAAATATGTTTCTATATTACCAGATAAATACTTCGCGACATTGAGGATATTATCGTGAAGAGAAGTCTCGTTAAAATAGGGAGCTAATTTCCTTAGTTCCACCATTAAATCCAAATCGATGGAACGTTTTTCCATAGCAATGGCGGTCAGGTCGAAATTCCTAGTACTGTTATTCAAAACCGTTACCAAGCCCTTGTCCAAACAATAATCGACAAACAACACCATGTACTTGTCGAAAGGTAAATTTGAGTGTTTGTTATTTAATATTTGGCCAATGTGGGCGATGTTGTCGGCTGCGCCTACTCTTCTTGACACGCTTATTAAACTATGTACCTCGGACTCGCAGAATATTCCAAACCTGGCGAATTCGTTTAAGACATGATCACGTATGTGCAATGAGCAATCACTATCCATCACTTTGTTTAGCATTTTCAATGTGACTGGAAAGGACTGGAACAGCTTGAACAGAGGTTGGGAGATACTTAAGCTGTCGCAATCTTCTTTGGAATAAGTGACAATGATCCACGCTTTGAGCAAATCAATATCGTTATACATAAGTAACTGCTCCCAAAGAACTTCGGCATTGAAGAACGGCAACAAATGAAGATCTGAAACCAAATCACTCTTAAAAGATTATAAGGGCAGTTGTACAGGAAAATAACCCAATGATAACCTGCCTACGTATAAATGTTTTGGACTCACACAGGAAGTGTTTGTGGATAGTTTAAGCAATATTTTGCAGCACTGCATCGACAGACTGGAGTCGAACATACCTTTTTACTGGAGGTATAAATAGAGGCTAACGTAAATTAGAAGATGACGCAACAAAAAAATATTTAACTTAACTTTAACTTAAGATCATGGATTTATCAGTATGAATAACAAGCCAACTAGAAACTCCGAAAACACTGTAAATGTAGAGGTGAACTGTTTAATAATCTTAACACAGCTGAATTAAAATATAGGCCAACAGACCATTATCCCATCCCCCTAAGTCGGCAAATCAATTGCTGGACAGAGCGGTAGCTAACTAACGGATATTTTTATTAATAATCATAAGAATAGTATATCCAAATGATTTCCAAAGGGATTATAATATCCATTAGAAACAGTAATTGACTTAAGAATCTACAGAAAATAACAATCTAGAATGATATAAGAAGTGTAGAAAACTGTCGCCCTTTCACTTTCTGCCCCTTCCCAACCTGAAGAGATTTAGGCATAATTATAGATAAAAATGTTCAGGTCAAAGTAACAAAATTAATATTTAAATGCTATGAATTAAGAACCATTCTTAATAAATCACTATTTGAGGTAAAGTTTGTGTGATAACTTTAAATTAATTCCAAGTACTTCAAAATACATTATTAAATTAAAATTAAAAATATGAGGTATCTGACAGAGTCTTTTGAGGGAGTAAATTATTAAATATTCGTCAGATGCACCTTCATGCTATAATGATAAAGGTAGTAAACATACTATTATCATGGATAAAATACAAGAAATGTAACAATAAACAATGTTGAACTGCAGAACCCCAGACATTCAACATGTCAAATGCATATTTATTATTTAGGACCCAAAGTTAGTAGTTTCCTAACAAATCAAAAAATGGACACTGCAAAATAACTTCACAGTTTTAGAATTTTAAAATATTAATAATTCCTAATGATTTATACTTGGAGTCTATGGAATTTTGAACTCTTTAATTTAATATTTATATATTTGTATATGTAAGTGTATCTTTTTCTTTTGTATGGATGCTAGTCCTTTGTTAAACTCACTTTAAAGGCAAAAATTATCAGAAAAAATATGCACACCCAGTACCATCATGCAATAATGTATTAATCCAAATAGGGTAATTGAGAAACATACTTTTGAAATTTATCTGATGTACTGTTGATTGCATTACAGATTAAGTTATATTATTTTTTTATGATATATTTGCACTGCTAGTGCTATGACTAATAAATAATACTCACCCTGGGTTCTTAAAATCAGTTTGCAGGCCATTTCATTTTTCCAGATATGAGTTTTTTCATCAAGACAATGAATACTATCTTCCCTTAACCTACTACGCACTGTGAAAATGCTATTCTTTAAAATTACGTCCAGAAAGTGCCAAAGGTTTTTCATGTCTTCAGTTAGGTGGCCTGACTTCTGTAAGTAACCTCCGATGTAATCTCTCAAATCTTTCTTATTGGTGTTACGGAAAACTTTAACCAATTCAGGTACAGGATTGACATCTATGTTCTTTAATATGTGAGAGACTCGAAATATTTGTTTGCGTTCCAGTAACTCATTTACCCAGATGGATATCTAAAATATTATTTAGTAAATTCATAATAATTTTGCAACTGTTATTAGTAAAAATCTAGTCATACCTCGTCTTTAATAAATGATTTTGCTTCATCCACAGATATACCTTTTTTCAAGCACAAAAATTCCATAGCAAGATGGACATGACCTTTTGCACCAGCTTCCCTTGCAACCTCCCGATCACTTTTAAAAGTCCATCCGTTCCAAATTCCAAGATTTTCCTTTGTTATATTTGGTGGCGGTATTAACTTTCTTTCCTTCAAAGAGTCATGGTCTTTTAATCCTACATAAATCTTGCGGCTCAATTTACCTACTTTAAAAAAATGTTTCGGTTCCATTTTTGAAATGAACGGCCTAGACGAATATTATCAGTATAAATAGTTAACCTCATAATCAAAAGCCTCTTCCATAAATAATTTTTTAAATGAAAATCCTAGCCTTTTGTTTATTTTGAATCATACGCATAACACAAAATTGATTAAAATATTTGTTTTCAATTAATGATAGATATCAGCTGACGTGTATAAAGGTCTGTTTCCATGAAGGCTTTTGCGACAGTTGCGAGAGACGCTTGGCTGATCATTTTATCATCACGTGGTGAGGTATTCATTTCAATAATTTCTAAGTGCCATTAAAATATGTTTAATAATCATACTGAATATATAATTTAGGCACTAAAAAAGGCAGTCTTCCGGTTCTCGCATTAATATTCATTAGTTTTTCGTGTTGCATAAACTTTGCGGACATTAAAATCCTAAGAAAACAAAATCCGTGAATAAACCCATAGATTGGACAAGAAGACAAACGTTACCATTCCAAATTTATTACGTCATTTGTCATATTTACGGTTTCACCCTGTTCCAGGAGTGGCAAGGAAACAAATTATCTATGAATTGATTTGGTAGTAATTTATTTTTTTTATTGACCTGACGATGGCTGGCGAAGCAAGCCACAAAAAACGGGGAAAATTATCGAGACAGGAGTCAAATAGGTCCACAAAAGATGCCGAGATCGAAGTAGATAGGTCAGGAGTTGGTGCTTGCAATAATCAAAACAAATCAAGAAGTGGTATTCGTGTATATAAAATAGTGGTGTTAGGTGACGGAGGAGTTGGAAAATCAGGTCTGATATTTGTTAAAGTCCTGTTGTTACACAGAGATAATTGGTACTTATTTTCTAGCTGTTACTCTTCAGTTTGTCAGTCACAGTTTCCTAGATTACCATGATCCTACCATTGGTGAGTGCCGTGAATTCGTAGCTATGTTTACCTAAAATACATTCGTTTTAGAGGATTCTTATCAACAACAAGCAGTTATTGACGGCGAACCTGCTCTCTTAGACATTTTGGATACGGCTGGTCAGGTATAAATCTAATATTTTAGTATATTTACTGAAATGAACTTATTGCTTATTATTTTAGGTGGAATTCACGGCAATGAGAGATCAGTATATGCGCTGTGGGGAGGGTTTCTTAATTTGCTACAGTGTTACTGATAGACATAGTTTTCAAGAAGCTTCTGAATATAAAAAGCTCATCCAAAAAGTGAGAGCATCTGAAGATACACCAATTGTTTTAGTAGGCAACAAATTCGATCTTCATATGCAAAGAAAAGTTTCAACGGAGGAAGGTAAATCTCTAGCGAGACAGTTTGGTTGTCCTTTTTATGAGACATCTGCCTGTTTGCGTACTTATGTGGATGATGCTTTTCATACATTAGTGAGGGAAATTAGGGCAAAAGAAAGACAAAAGCTAGGGTTACCCTGTAATGAACGTAAATTAAGGAGACATAGTAAGTGGTGGCGATTAAGGAGCATATTCGCTTTAGTTTTCAGAAGAAAAAGACAAACAAATTTTAGTTCCTAGGTGTCATAACTTCAAGAGTTTTTTTTTATTGCTGATTTGTTTTTAAGAAAAAAAGGAATTTAATGAGATGGGATCAAACATTCCTTTGTCATTCCTAGAGTCGCCAGCGTAATACAACATTTTGTGTCAGTTGCAAGTGGCCCAAGATTCAAATTAACCAAACCAGACTAACCAAAACTAACTTAAAAGTTTAAAACAATCACATAATTTACAAAATGTTTATGCATGTGAAATTAAAAATCTTAAAGTTACATTATTTTCATATTTGTGGGCAATAAGTTTTTGTTATTTTAGGTATTAAATGTTTCATATTCACATATCCATACAATTTGCCTACCTTTTTTTTGCAGATAATTTTTATTTTAGTCCACATTAAATTTAATGTTTCCATTTTTCTTTTTTCCCATACCAGTGTTCTCTAGTTTTGGTTTGTTTAGACCCAATGAAAAAGAAAATACATCATTGTAAACTTACTATGTTAGTCCTGGGCCACCTTGTTTTCATTTTTTTGAGATCATGTCATGCTGGTTTTTGTGTGTTTTTCTTAAATTTTAATTTATGTCTTGCGTTATATGTATTAGTATTAGTGCCAAATTGTGTACAGTAATTTTGCAATAACTTCTAGTCATTTCCTAGTTTTGTAATTCCTTAAAAATCATATTAATCATTTCGTTAATAACAAATATTTTTTCATAACAAGGGAGGTTAGAATTTTTTTATGAACTGCATTAAATTTAATCTAACCATCTGACCAATTTGTTATTTTTATTTGCTAACAATCAAGTGTAACACTCTCAATTGATTAGCGATAATTTTTTGACAATTATGAAAGTTAGTTATTATAAATATGTATATGTTGTTCTGTAACATTAGAGGCGGCTTCCCAATATTATTTTAATAAAGACTGATTTAGGACCATCATACTGTCCCAAAAAGCCAACAGCACCATTGTTGATATATTCCATCCTTCCTGAAAATGAGCGATAACAATCCATATAAATAAAATAAAAAATTGTTCATTACATTAAAACACTGATTGTGTAAGGTACATTGATAGGTTTATATAATTAGTTACCTGCATTTAATGACTCCCGTCTTCATTGTTCCATATAGCAAGATTACAATATTTGGAATTGCATTTTTGTTTATAGAGTGAGTTTGGCAATATATATGTACTAATACGGAATCAATGTTTGTCAACAATTTTAAGTTATCTGCTGTTTATCAAGCTCATTGGTTTGTTCTAAGTATATCACATCCTAGTGGTGTTTTTGTAATTTGATTAGTTGAAAACTAACAGTATCACTTGGGTATTGTAAATATTAGTTTTCGTTGTGATAAGATTGTTACTATATTTTATAGTTATCAACACTCCTCTTTTAATCTACAAGGAAGTAAGACAATATTGAACAAAATATAATTAATTTTTGATTTACCATACTGACTGTAAACACAGCAAATAGATGAGTCATAGTCAAATAGCCTTAAATACATTTCCGATTAATTACATTACGTAAGTTTCCTATGGCAGATTTGTAAGCAAAGATTAGCCAGGTTCGGCTCGACAATGTCATATGCCAGCATAACTGTAAATCTGTAGGATCTAATTTTTTTTGCGAGTTTCAAGTGGATATAGAACATTATTTACGGCTCCACGTGATCGCAAAATATCAACTCCAGAAATTTAGCTGCTTGTTTAAACTATATGTTACGAACTATTGATCATAATTTTTTAAATTGGTTAATGGTTTTAAAGATAAATAATGTAAATTTACTACGCGTTATGTTTATAGTTAAAAGAAAGCTTGAACTCGAATTAGTAGCATAAAAGTATTTAGCTTGCAATCTAGAGAACTTTCCGAGTTTTAATAAAGATGAACTAGGGCAATTTTTGGTGCGTACAAAAATTTCGTAAGATACAAGGCCAGTATACAATCAAAACTGTCAAAATGCACCTTGTGTTATAATTAGTTAGAAAGGATTTATTGAATGTATATTATCAACGGTCGAACCATATTCATTCAGCATTTGTATTAGTGTTTTGAATGTGGTTAGCAGCAATTGAATCTTCTTTACCCGGAAGGAAATATTTATCTTGTCTGCATTTTTCCTGTGACGCTTAATGCAATTAATTACTTAGGCGGGTAAGAGCCACTAAATATTTCACAAAAACTATGATAAGTACTGGGTCCTGTAAACCTAGAGTTAAAGGGCGCAAATCAAGAAATCAAATAATTAACAATCTATTTAAGAGTTTCTTTTTATTCTTCAATTCCTGACTCTTCACATTTTAAGTTTAAATCTTTGAGTTTTATTCAACGTTTCAATCATGATGTGGCACTTTTTCAAGGATCTAAAATACATACAAATATTATATAAATTAAATATTTTCTATAAAAATATTTACATACGTATTATTGAACAACCTAAACCTGAGCATTAAAGATATTTAAATCTAAAAAATATTATAATTTTTTGAAAGTTTATAGTTTACATTGTGAGCAGCTATTTTTTTTTAAATCTTTAATTTGATACACTTTTTGCGATAAACATATTAACAACAAATTTAAAACTAATAAAGTTGCTAAGTTGCTAAGGAACACTACTTTTACTATTTATAAAACTTCTGGATTCCTCCTGCGTCAGTTGTCGTTAAATCGAACAATCAAACAATTTTAAGCGCGACTCAATATGCCCCTCCTTTAGCTTCGCCTTCTTCAAACAATATATAAGTACAAAGTAGAATGCAAACCAGTTTTAGTTAAGCTCAGAAAGTTCGATTCAAGAACAAACCACGCACAAGGAATCCAGAAGTTTTGTAAATAGTATTACAGTAGCCTGAGAAAGTTTCTCTGTAAAAAAACTACTTTCATTAAAAATAAATTGTCAGCAAAGTTAAGTATTTCAAACACTACATCACATTTTTTGTATGTACCTATTTAAGGCATTTGAATTAAATTAATTCATCAAAAAATCTGCTGTCCAATTTTTTTAAGTGTCTCTCTTTTTGTTCATGTGCTACCGCCATTATTTTTAAAAGAATAATTTTGTGTTTGTGGCAATGACTTTTTACTTCATTTTTTGTTTCTATATGCTTTGGTTGCCTCTGAAGCAAGAAACAATTTTTTTAAAGGGTTTCCTGCTGTTCACCTGATGGCTTTAGGGACAATTAAATGTTTCTTAGGTGTTGTGCACTGTGTTACGTCATTTTTTTTCTTTAAATGGCATTTTGGGTTCAGTCAACTCTCTTTTTTCTTTAATAAAAGTAAAGTCAGATTTAGTTTCCTTAATATTTGTGAATCCTTCCACTGGGTTAACAATACTTAAAACTCTTTCATCACCTTTTTAGGCGGACCACTACCTGTTTCTCATCGGTACGCAAGGTAGTTGCTTTTTTGGCCTTATATCTTGCTACATCTGAAACAATAAAAAATAGCAATGTAGACATTTGCGTTGTGGAGGTATTCTATCTTTCTACAGTTTTTGTTAACCCCGAGTGAACTTTTTAACGCTGAAGAAACTTCTTCCCGTACCTTTTGTGCTTTTGTGTAAAATCCTTAGAAAACATGCCACTTGGTTTGGTACTAACAACACAAACGTATTTTTTTTAATCTTCCACATTGTCTAACTGATTCTAGCTTATGAATATGAACAAAATAACATTTTAGAGTGACATTCACAGCAAAAAATAGCTCCACAGGTCGGGTGAATAGATTTCCTTCCGTGTGAATTATTGTTTTAACTTTTTTTTTTCTGTGGTGACATTAAAGACTGAACTTATCATCCATGGCATTTGCGTTGTTATTCGTCAATTTATTTGAATTGTTAAATTTTTGTTGTTAAATTGGACATACAATTTTAACAGAATAATAATTTATTTTACTTTTAGGCATATTTATTGTACAAAACTTTAATACAAATTAATATTAACTATTGCATATTTTCCTGTCTCCACTCCTTTAGTTTAATTCTGAGTTCTTGCTTTTCTCGATTCGAAGCGAAGGAATAGTCGATTGAATTGCGGGAAATTTTCCATAGCTGCTCCCGATTTAGGTTCAAATGTTGATAAGCAAGGAAGAATTCTTTAGATAATGAGGTATTAAACACTCCTTTGTCGTCGGTCTGAAATTTTTTTGTTCTGGAATTTCGGCGTTTCGGGACTAAAAAATATACTTACGCATAAAGAAAATGGCAATTCATCCTTTATCCAGGCTTGGATGTGATGTTCCTTATAAGACTTTGTGGTGCGACATATAACATTTGATGTCAAACAGATCTCTGAAAGATAGTTCCTGTTCTATTAATTTCTAATTAACTATTAATGAAGAAAAATTTCAAACTGTATTTGTAGAGCTTATAGAAACGTACAAAACAATGAACTAGACCAAGTAGGCACTCCTCAGTTACGGTATTGACAGAGTAACGAAATGCTTATGTAAAACTTCCGGATCGTTCGCGAGGTTAATGTGCAAAAATCTCCGAAAACATATTAGTTCAATTGTTGTTTCAAATTAAAAACAAATGAGTAACTACAGAACCAGTTGTCAGAATTATTGCAAAAAACTTGTTTTTGGACGGACGTCCTCGCCGCACCAGCTGACAAGATGATCGTTTATACACGCGTAATAGACAAACTGTACCTAACAGGTTAGGAAGGAATGGGACAGAAGCAAGACTTTCAGTATCAGCGCATCATTAACGAGAATTAGCTGTAGTGAATGGAACAGCAATGACTGCTGACAGGTGTACGGGGTGTTCTTGCTTCTTCGATGAAGTAGCATCAACGTTAAAATTTAAATGGGATCCGCTAATACTTTATGACTATTCTTGAATAATACGTTGCTACATGTATCTTTAGCGGTTTTCGAGAAATTACTTTCTTTATTTTTCCGACCAAAACACAGCCTCAATAAAATTTTTATTATTACGAAACTGGAACAAGAAAGTTAAAATTCTGGACATAGCTTAGGGAGGTGTCGAACAGAGTTTCTTATCGAAATTAGTTCTACATTATACAGGGTTGGACAAAACTAATGATTTGACTATCAGATCTAAAAATAGTGAAAAGTGCTTTTTCCCTTTCGAATGATATAAATAAAAGCAAATTTGACTGAAAACTGGATCACTTTGGCATAATTCATCTTTTATGTGGCCATGAAATATTCGTCTTATGTTAAATAATTCATTTTTCGTTTGACAGTTTAATAAAGATTTACTCATTACTGATTGTGGTGCAAATTTTGTTAATAAAATCGGTTCGAAATGGTATGAAACCAGTATTCTAATGCTGTTTTAATAAAATTGTTTATTATATGGACGATGCAACAAGATTATAACTCGAACATGCAGAAAATTTAATGAAACGTATCCTGGTTTACAACACATGAACAAGAGACAATTTGCAAGAATTAAGACCAACTTTACAAACTATGCTTCGAAACTAAGGCTATTTCCATCTTTACTAAAGCGTGCTACGTCAAACGAAGAAAATATAATACACGTTTTGGCATAGTTTGTGTCTTTTTATGAAATATTGTTGGTCTGCCATTGAGGAGGACCCTCTTTTTCTTTGGACCGACAAAACAAAATTTTCAGAAGAGGGTATTTATTTTCAGTCGAAGGGACAGTTTTCGTCTGTCGATCGATTTTTATATGGTTTTGACCAACCCTCAATGATATAGAACTTATTTCGATATTAAGAAATAAGCTACGCTACGTAGAAAATTTTAACCCTCTACTGGTTTCAGCGTCGTAATAATAAACATTTTATTGAAGCTATGTTTTGGTTGAAAAATGATAAAAATAATTTCTCAAAAACCACTAAATATAGAAGATATAAACGAAATTATTCAAAAACAGTCAAAAAGTATCAGCGGATCGGAAAGTGCAGTGCAGTGCAGTACATGTGTCCAGTGTCCAATTTAAAATTTAATGTTGATGCTACCTTTTCGAAGAAGCGGCAAAGTAGCAGCATTAAAAATATATCGATAGAGCATCTCCGCTTATGGAAGTAACCAAATTTTCATAACAATCCAATGTACCGTTCGCCGTAAACGTTTAGGATACCATCAACCATGAAACACCCCGTATAGTGGGCCAAACTATAAGAGCATATTCAACGTCGAAAATAAGCCTATGTTTTCTGTATAAATATGTCGAGAAATGCCCCCTAAGGGAGCCACAGGCCTTAAAAAATTTGGCATGCTGAAACTAAAATTAGAAATGTCAGATTTTGATCAGGGCTCTAATTTTTGAGGGATATAGGAAGCATAAATTCCAATAATGTTTTTCTCGGTTGACTTTTTTCTTGTAAAATCGGAAAGTTGTGCTCTTTTACGAAAAAAATGAATATCACAGAGTATTTTCTAACATTCATAAAAGTCTAGCAGAACGTGCATCGTTTAGTGGATCTCAGGGGTAAGGAATATGGGAAATTATGATTATGAGGGACCGCTAAACAAAATTGAGGAAAATCCTCAAATAATATTAAGAGCCCTGGAAGATACCACTAACATTCTAACACAATTGTAATAAAGAGAATCCGAGGGTTCTTCGAAGAATCAACTTTCAAATTAGGTTTTCTATCTGTGTTTGGGCGGATATCAGAGGTAATTGTAAAGGTAAGCTTATTTTACTTTTACTTTTTTTAATATATAAAAAAAGTTCCAAAGTCAACTCTCAAAAAAGTTATTGCAGTTTTTGCTAGCTGCACCCCTCAAAAGTTACGCCCCTGTCCATTTATTTTGAGGCATGTGAAGTTGGGCATATTCTACATTTTATGTAGATGGAGAAATTTTAAATGTGATCGCAAAATGACAGACAGCTCCACGGCGTTGTCAAACTGTAAGATTTCTTCGATTTAACCAGGAAATTATGTAAAACTGCAATTTGATACCGCCTGTTTTGATAATGCATTTTAAAATCAACTTGATGGAGTTGGATAAATTAAACTGAGTTTATTCAAAAACTTTCGCAATACGATTAAAAAATACAACAAATTTTGTTGCCTTGGCCAAGAATTCAGGAGACAAAAAAGCGCATGCTTGTATTTAATAGTATATTATGCAACACGTGTGATAAACGGCATTTGAGTCACGAGTTACGAGATTGCTTAATAAACGAGTGACTTAAAAACTTTACCAAACCTGTTGCATATTAATATATACTTTTTCCACGGCCGTTAGTTTTTGGATATATTTTTGCAAAACAACACGAATACATTCACTGACATGACTGTCAGAATTGACAAACGTTAAAACTCAAGCTGTGCGGTAAAATCTCCGGAAACATCCGATTGCTCCCAACTCCATGCGGTAATATTCCGGAAATGGAAAGGGATTAGATTTTTTTTTTATTTACAGTATTAGTAACAGCCATAGCAATTTTATAAAAAAAATGTTTATTTTGGGAAATTCAGTTGTCAGTTTTAAAATTATTATGGCAACATGAATGAACATGGAATTCTCACTAACACATGCGCGGTAGATACATTAAGGTGCAAATGTACAGTAGTAGTAGTAGTGTTCAAATTAGCCACTCATTGTATTGAATGGTATGGTATGGCAAAATCATGTATTCGCAAAAAATAAGTTCTGAGAAAATTGACCCGAAACAATATTTTCTTTGCTTTTTTGAACTTTCAAAAGTATATTCAAGTTAATAGTACCTATTAGAACAGATTGAATAATTGTAAATATTTATTTGGAATAATATTGAAATTTGGTTTGATACACCTTTTTAAGAAAGTATAATTACTATATTTAATAAACAAAAGGGTAAGGTTAGTACTATAATAAAAAAAATTGTACAAAAAAATTTAAATTAAAAATTTTACAAAAAGAGTTAACGAATCTATATTCCCGTTTTAGGATGTCTACTAATTTTCTCCATTTATTCCCCGAAATTTCAGCGTATCTAGTTAGTTTGCAAGTTAGTTGGGATTACCGGTGTATTTATTCCCCACTTACCTGTTGGAATTTGTAACATTTTGTTCATTTGCCAAAGTCGTTGCGAACCTCCCGATTCTGGATGCAAAAAGGTACCGTGGCCGATTCTGTCCGGATTAAAATTTAGAATTCTCTCTGCTTCGATATCGTTCTTAATTTCGGCGCAATGAATTGCGGTAAACAAACCATTATATCTGGCTTCAATAAACAGATCCTCGTAAAACTCCCCAAACGAAGGATTACCGCTTAAATCGATTCCTTTAACGATGTCGGGATATAATTTTTTAAATTTAATAATGCTTTTCACGGTTTTCCGTTGCTCTTCGATCGAACGTCTTCTGTCTAAAGACAGCAACAGTTTGACCACTATGGGGCTTTTATGGCTTGTGATTCCGTCTACTACAGCTTCGATGTATTCTTCTTCAGTCATATTTTGTTCTTCTCTAGGGGTAGTCCGAAGTTCTAAATATAGCACGTTATCATCGGCAAATTCTTTTATTACTTGTTTTGTAACGTATTTTACGGAATTAACATCGCTAGTTGCTTTATGCGCTACGCTAAATAGTTGGAAGCAAGTTTGGAGGTCTATGTCCGATTTATTGTAGATTTGAACGTCTTCCTCTAAACATCCTAAGTCTTTCAGAGTTGCTCTGCTGAGGGACCCGTTCAAATGTGCGTGCAATTCCTGCAAACCAGCAGGGACATATTACATGATTGGATATTCACTTGCGTTAAAGTAAAAATGATTCTTCCAGCATTGTGGTATTACTTATTTGTGTAATAGTATCAAAGAATAGAAGGGGCATCAAACACAGGCGAAGAATCCTCATGATCACCATTGATCCTAGAGTAGGGCATCCGCACTTCAGGCAACCAGTCATACTCTAGGATCAAACAACGGACGTATAAATACATTTGGTGAATATATTTGGTGTTAAGTATTTGGTCTGTGGTGCAATAACCGCAACCACCGTTTTAGAATTAAATTACAGGGCAAATTCAATAGACGAGGATCCATATTTGTCAAGAGATCCGTAATTTTCCATGTTGTTAAGATCCAGTGTAATTGCTCGTTATTCGTTATTCGTGTTTTAGTAACGACCAAACTCGACACTGGCAACGAGATCCGGAAGGGATTAATGGCAAAAAGCAAATGTTTACTAAGAAAAATTCGAAAGAAATAAAGTCAGTAAAAGACCATCTATCAGATCTATATAATTGTCGAGTTGTAGTAGTCTGTGTTCAGTGGTGTAAGTCTGTCGTATCTCGAGCATAAGTTAAACACGGCTTATGGTCAGAATATCAAGGCAGCAGGAGAATGCGGTAGATGTAAGTCATAAAACTAAGTATATAAGTGGTCTTTGACAATTCTCGATGCGAAAAAAGACTTCACCTATGTTAGGTTGGACATGGTTGAGTGCATTGTATCCTAACTAGCAACATCATTTTGAAAGTGCTTTGAACCTGCTTAAAAGTTATTCAAATGAATTTAAAGCCAAGTACAAGAATGTGTTTAATTTAAGATTTATGCAGTCCTACAAAATGAATTAAAGATTCCAGATAAAAGCAGATGTGGTGCCAGCAATAAAAAAAGCTTGCTTGATGTCAAATGCATTAAAACCAATAACCTGAACCGCACCAAAACTAACCATTTTCGGTAACTTTTTACAGAAAATGGTTAAAGTGAGAATACTTTAACCTGTATCACATTCCGACTGGGCTTCACCAATTGTGGTGGTATCAAAACGCGATAACGATGTCAGAATTTGTGTAGATTTCAGGGTAACTGTTCTGCATCAGTATCCATTATCAACGCCTTAAGATATTTTCACTAGTCTAGCAGGGCGACAATGTTTTACAGTGCTGGACTTGACTGGAATTGAGAATACAACAGAAATAGTTGACCATCAACACTCATATTTTTATACTGTATGGACCAGTTGTTGGCAGGGATAATCAGTGTAAACTGTTATGGTTAGTATTCAGATTGAGTAAAAAGCAAAAAAACAAAATAATGTTTTAACACATTATAATGCTGATAAACTAATAATTAATTGTATCTTGTGATACAAGTTCGTATGTGTTGTTGTCATGTTGACGGAGTTGTAAAACCAATTCTCTTTGCGTCAGGTTCGTTAGGCAAAGCGGAACGCAATTATTTACAGTTAGAAAGGGAAGCTTTAGCTATAATTTTTAGTGTAAAAAAGTTTCATAAATACATCTTTGGTAGAAAGTTTACTCTAATAAGAGTAAGAAAAATTTTTCTAATCCAGACAAAAATATAATTGTGATTTTATCGAGTTATAATTATGACATAGAATATAGTAAATGCCTTCAAATGTTTGAGGCGGATATGTTATCAAGATTGCCGTTAAATTAATTTGTTAAAACGAGTTGGCCGAAAGCCGAAGGAGAATTGAGAAATAATTTTACTAACAGACACGAACTGTCGGTTAAGAAAGGTTGTCTAATGTATGCACGTAGAGTGGGAGTACCAGAAGTGTTACAAAAGGCATAGGCATCATAAGAGCGAAAATGTTGGCGAGAAGTCCCAGAAGTGTTACAAAAGGCATAGGCATCATAAGAGCGAAAATGTTGGCGAGAAGTCTATGATGTTGAGAAGTCTATAAGTGGTCGATTCTGTTTTAACTGTGATTTTTTATGTCTTGTCTTGTTAATAATAATAATGAAATGAAATATGAAATAATAATAATGAAATTTTTGTATTAATTAGCTGAGCATATAATACAATTTGTCATTCAGGCTTCAAGACTAGAATTTTGTATAGTTTTAAAATGCCCAAGTAGTTTATAGTTTAACTAATAGTATCCTGGGGAAGAATTCAGATTGTATGGTCTTTTTTCCACCTGCGACGTTACTCTTGTGGAATGAAAACTGTATTTATTGCCTTCGTGAGATGTATTTATAACATTATATATAACAAAAGAGAACCTACAATATATCAGCTAAATATTAGTACCGTGTCATGCCCATTTCTAAAATTTGTCTATAAATTGTTAATTCTATAATCCAAAAAAAAACACTTTTTAATGTTTTAAGTTAAAAGTGAATTTCGCTTCACCTTTTGTCTTTAAAAATTAACGAAATTTTGAATTTATATGACTTTGAGATTTATGATACGTCTAGTGAATCATGTTGAGAGGACGTCATGTAAGTGCTGTGATAAATATTTCGAGAACTATATTTTTGGTGTGTTACTTTTTATTTAGTTGGTATACTTTAATTAAATCAGATAAAAAAAATAGTGATTACTAATTAAAATGACAGTTTAATAAATAAACGAGTACGTACGCCACTGCGTTGTATAAATGCAAGGCATTCTCTTCCATGTGTTTGGAAATAGGTTAGAAAATCTTTTGTACAATAATTAATAGTTGACGGCAAGAGAAACGATTTCAATTGAGTCACTTACTATTTTGGGAATCGAGACACAGAATTTTTCCATTTTTTAATCGGCTCATACGTAAACAGAACCACCGACAAGCCGACAGTTTGCACAAAGCCTTATACACTTGTGCGGATTCACCCACGTTGTTGCCATATTTACGATTTAAAAAAATATTCCCCTAAATAAAGAACCAATTAAAAACGAAAATACGGGAACTGGTTAATATAAAGGGAATATTTTTCAAATGAGTATTTGTTTTTGTATCTTCGTACCATCCAAAATTAAATTATTGATAATGTCGGTTTTATCAATTGCAATTTGTACGTATATAATTCTAGTTTTCGGTTTATAAAAAATGTGAAATTAAATATTGAATCCAAATTATAATAATTGAAGTGGGAATAATAATGTGAATAATGAAATTGCCATGGCCAATTTCGAAAAGTATTTGTCGTAAAGATTTAGGGTAAAGAAACTAATAACTTAAGCTGCCAAAGAAAAAATGTTAGAAATTATTTTTCTAGAATTAGAATTACGGATAGGGGGCGTAATCGCATTCTTGAATTGAATCCCGTTAAAATGGGCGTCTTAGGCTATTAACACTGCCCAGAGCGGATTGCTTTCTATTGCTTGTATCGCTTCTAGAGGGCGTTTCGCGACATAACTGCAAATAAAATTTATTTTCTCAAAAAACTAAACGGTATCACTTTTATTGCAACAAATGACTTCTTTCCTAACCTATAATATCAGTAAAAGAAATAATTCAGGATTATTAAATACTAATTTTAGTTCTTTTAGCAAAATATATATGAAAGTGTTAAATGGCCAACATTATATTCAAAATGTAAATAGTAATAATTGATACTCATTTCCATATAATTGAATATTACAGTACAATATATTACAATAATGAAAACCAAGAGGCCAATTTTTGCTATCTTGCCACGATAGGATTTGAAAAATTTTCGAATTTCGTGTGGACAGATAGGCAATATTCATATTGAATGGGAATTAATTTTTATTATTGACATTTAAAATATAATGGTGGAATTTTAACAGTAATTTTATGTATAGTTTGCTAAAACATCGAAAACTAGGATTTAATAATGGTAGGTATATGTATATATAGGAAAATAGACCCAAAGATGCCAGATTATTTCAAGTTTTGGTTAGTTCTCTTACACATCACATTATAGGTTAGTTTTCGTTAGAAGAATCGAAATGCCGTTTTCACTATCGTGTTAGACTCTTATTGATTTATATTGTATTGTAATAAAAGTGATATCGTTGGATTTAATTTGTTTGTGGAAAGATAAATGTTATTTGTAGCGATTTTGAAAACACTCTCTAAGGACATACAACGATACAAGCAATCTAGATCAATCTACTCAGGGTACCGTTAATAGCCTGAAAGCTCTTCAAAGGATTGAAACTGTGTGTAGGTTGAGCGTTAGAGAAAATGGTCTACATTTTGAACAGTTTTTTAGCTTAATAAATTAAAATTATTATGTTCAGATTTGAACTAAAATGCATTTTATAAATAAAATGTTAATATTAATTATAAAAAATATAAATTATAAAAAGCCTACCGCAAATACAGTCATGAAAATTTTTAAAAATCATTTTTGTTAGGACATTTCTACCCAACTGTTATACATTTTTGAGAAGCTCATACCAAGCGGAATCAGACTGGCCTCTGAGATATAGGAAGTTCCGTTAAAAAAAAACGAAACTTTATACTTTTTCAAAAATACGAAACCATTTAGAAAAGAACTGACTACGCCACTGAATTCAAAGTAAAAATCTATATCGGATGAGCTTTTCACCTTTCCGATATTTCGTAGCATACCCAGGATACGAGGGGTGCCCCAAAACTTCAAATTTCCAAAATCATCCTGTATTTTAAAAACTAAGCAATACATAAAAATTGTCTTAACGTCATCTTTTGTTCAGAAAAAAATACTAAATGTTTGCGAAAGCGCAAGGCTCTATCTTCACTAATAAAAGACATATCGCTCAGTCGCGACCAAAATGGGACACAGTGTACACCTGACATAATAATGTTATTAAGTTTTTATCTGCTCGTACTAAGATTAAATCAACATGACACAAATAAAAGTAGTAGTCAGAATAAGCTATCATTATCGTCGCTTTTTTCTACTCACGTCTCTAAATTTCCCAAGTGGCTTGAATCCTTGGGAAACCAAATTGACGTGGTAAAGTGACGTTTTCCGCACGCTAGATCGGTGTGTAATTAGGTATTTTACAGACGGGAGTAGAAAGACTTTTTAAGTCACTCGTTCGCTTTGTTCCGCTCGTGCCAAATGAACTCGTTACTCAAATGCCGTTTACTACACTTGTTGAATAATATTCTGTTACGTTATCCCAATTTTTTTTATTAACATTTTCCACTTCAAGTAAATAAATAACACATTCTCTCCAACTCCTCTCTGGTAATAATTCACACTGAGTTTTAATTATATCAATTACTGGGGTGAACATTTTTGGGTTTATATTATTGGGTCTAACTTTGTTTTATAATTCAGCTCATATCATTTCTATAGGAATCAAATCAATCTCCTTTAGATTACTGCCATTTGAATCCTATGGAAATGATATATACCCCTGTATATGCCGGATTTTTTATTTATAACCCCGTTCTTAAAACTTCAACTAGTTGTTTTTTTTGTGTAAGCATCTTTAAAATATAGCTCATGCTGACTAAGGAACTCTCGGAATATAATTTTTTGCTGATGTTCGTTGGCCCTTTTTTAGCTGAAGTGCTGTGAAATTATTATGCTGCCTGGTGTGATATTTGCCATGTCGTCAGGGTAGTCCAATGAGCAGTTTTTAATGTTTTTTGGTAAAAGCAGCAAAGCGTTTGTCACTCAACCTTCCCTTCCCTTTCATTCAAAATGTAGTCGAAGATGAAGATAGAGATGAAGTTTTCCCTAGTTTGAAATTTAAAATATGTCGGTTTCTGTAAAGCGTTTTTAAAGACAACAAAATTAATCGGAATATAATTTTAACGTGTTGCTTAAAACTCATATTACTATCGAGTTTTTGTCTCATGACCTAAAACAATTTTAGTATTGCCTATAGAGATTTCAACATGGCTTTTAAGGAATCTTGATCCCAAAAATCATAAAATGAGTTTTCTCAAGATTAAGTTTCAAGTTGTGTTTTTTAGAAAGATCGCTTAGTATTTGTAAACCCTCATTAATAAATCTAGTAGCGTTCAAGAAATCTTCGGCATCAAAAGAAATTTGAGGTTCATAAGCGAATGGGTGTATTTTGTATTGTCCTATGGATCTGGACTCAAACCTGTCATGTAAATAGGTACTTATAAGAAGGGAAGCTGTAGTATCAAAAGTATAATATTTTAATTTAGATACCGGAAGTGAATGAATTATCTCATCAAATGCCTTTGAATAATCTAACATGATAAGGATAGGGTTCATCTTATCAATATTGTAATATTTCAGCTAAAGTCGGTAACGCGAAGATCGGATTTAGGGGTTCAATTTTCGGAATTGGTTTCACAATTGAAATTTTCCATTGATTAGCAAAATAGTTGATCTCCAACAAAAATTAATGATATGTGTTATGTATTTATCCACAATGGAATGCAAAGTTTAAGCATTAATGAGAAGATTTCATCCATACCTGTTAAATTACATAAAATATATATATTTAAGCAACTGTTGCCAGATTAAATGAAAAATTAATTGCATGAGAAAATTTATCATTCTACTATTCCGGCATTTTTTCTTGGTCGATTTATTTTTAGTTAGGTGGTATAAAACAGCATTCATTAACAAACTCACAGCAAAGCTTAAATAGCGACGTTTCCGTAGTGCTCGATTGTTTTTTTTTCGCCATGTTTTGCTGCCATCTCAATTTTAGAGTGGACAAACGTTTTATTGTTAATATTTCGAAATCTGCACAACTTATTCAAATTAGACAACTTTATACAAATTCACTCCTAAATCCGACAAAATTATAAAAACCAATTTTAAGATTACTAGAGTTGATACTCTTCTTTAGGAACATTGATAGATTTTCAACGACAGATCTGCAAACGCTACTATTCGCATAAAATTCAAATATGTGTCAGAAACGACAACTGATGATATTAAATGTAAAATATGTCTAAAAAGTTTGGAGGAATTAAAAAATGTCTTAATGTATAGGTTGGTTCATTTAAAAAAAGGAAGTTGCCAGTTGTCCTTGAAAAGTTTGTTTAATGTGTTTTCTATATTTTGGGATAATGTATCATCCCACGCACGGTGTGCGTTCAATTTTTGATGATTTTATGTCGTATCTTCCTTATTAATAAAGCTAGCGTATTAGGGATTCCATGATCCAAGGCTACTTTTTATGAAATGAAAGGTGGCACAAACAGACAGTCATAGCTACCTTGGATTTTTAGATATGGGGTGATTTAGCAAATTTTGCATTTTTGCCACTGGTGAAAATCGGTAGAAATTGGCAGAAAAAAACTGACTACACAACCCTACATAGTCAGTTTTTCTCTAAAGCTCACAAGTTTTTAAATTTAAACTAAACTTTTGTTTTCTCTGTCTTTTAATTCTTGTATTTGACTTTCTGGTAGGTTTTCATAAACATATAACACATACGAGTTGTTTTAAATGCAATTTAATTTTATTATTTTTTTATGAGTATTCTATGGGAAATACACAGTTTGTTTCACATAAATTTTGAGATTTATATACAAATAGTTAATTACCTATCAAAATAAGAAAAATGGACCCTTTTTTCATGGTCTACTTATTAAAAAAATAAAATTAATGATAAATTGTAGCACTGTAAGAAGACTGACTACGTCATTGAATTTCCTATCCAGGCTAGTAAAATTATAAAAAGACATACTACGTTCGCTTTATTAATATTGGACATACGCCGTAAAACTATTAAAAATAGGACCCACTGTACGTTAAACACTAAAATTAGTAATGTTGTCACGTTACCGTCGCGGCGCGTCGAGCTCTAACTCTAAATCGCTTCGAACTTTTACAGGAGATTATAGGGCGCATTTTCAGTCCGCTCTCGGTCGCCGCAGCTCCTGCGTTTCGGAGCTCCAGCAGGATTAAGCGCGCGCGATGTAAATAAAGCTTCAAACATGTCCGTCAGCGAGCCTAAGGAAAAACTCGAACAAAAAAGTATAAAACTGGCCGTACACGAGATCAATCCGAGCTACACGGTGCGCGTAATATGTTGCGTGGTTTTCATTTGTTTGACGGAAATTTTCCTCGCGCATTACGTTTACAGGTAAGTTCTCACTCAAAAATAGAACTTCTATCGGTTTTTATTTTTATTATTTTTTCTACGTTATCTATGTTTATTTTTAGCAAATTAAGCGTGGACTGTTCTCTCTGCAATCCGCAATATCACATAAACAATGAATGTTATACGAAATTTAGTTGTTTTCTATGTTTCTTCACGGTTTGATAGAGAGTCTAGAGTTTTTATCGAGAATCAGTTTCTCTATCCCACAAAGACACTTGCACCGGCACCTAATTTTTTTAACTCCATTTAAATCAAGAGACTCAGGTCAAAATTCTGCTTTAGTCAGAATGGTCAGGCTTTATGCGGAGCACTGCAACCATATATATTTATATTTAAATTAAGCCTAAATAGTTTTAAAATGCAAACTAAATTAATTTTCCAATGTCTTTTTTTCTTTTGTTGTATTTATAGTTGTACTTCAACATCTTTTTTCTGTATTTTATTTTAGTTTAATTAAAGCATATAGGGATTAGTAGCGAATACTTGTTATGGATTTTTGTTATAAATAAATAAGTAAATGTTTTTTAAAGAAACTTCCAGATGCTACTGTCATACTATTTAGAAATTTTCTGGATTTCTTCTGCGTCGGTTGTTGAGACATCCAACTTGCTGATGTTTCTTTTGCAAGTCAACAGGATGATTTGCGAAACGTCAGTATCAACAACCGACGCAGAAGGAATCCAGAAGATTTATAAATAGTAAATGAATAAAAAAACTGTATAATAATATTTCTTTATTTCCATTATTACTGCCGATTTTTTGAATTCATTGCTTTTTTACTATTAGCACCGTCAGCTAACAACCCATTAAGTCGCTGGTATTTGGTGGCTGCTTATGACTTGATCAAAAATGAGTTTTAGGAACATTTACTGAGTGAAAATGTCTATTTTTTTAAATTCTTGAAAATATTAGAGAATGAATGATGTAAAAAATTCTGAGATGTACACATCTATTAACAATATGCGTTCAAAATCGATCACTCTATATTCCCACCAAGTGTTTTCTTACCCTTCAAGATTTGTACATTGGAATGGAAAAAGTTAGTTTTCCTTTTTTCCTGTATAGCGTCATTTTCACATTTGCTAGAAAAATAGTTTTTTCGGAATTTTAGAAAAAGAACTTTTCTCGGATTGTCACTTTTTTATATATTTTTGGAAAAATTAATAATTAATAACATTATTCTATAATTTGATCCTTTAATTCAACAGAACTGACTGTAAACCACAATGGAGACGGTCGCTAATAAGTTTTAATAAAAGTTGCTGGCGTAAACATTTTAATTTTCATCGAGATAGAAACGCAGTTCGTAAACTATAAATTCTAATTAATAAAATTTGCAAACTTAGTCCACATGTAAGTTGTGGCAGCGGTCGGTGACGTAATTAATTTTGGACGAATGACATTCAACCGAAATCATCTAAAATCCAAGCTGTAATTATTTAAAATCAAACGGAGCGTTTCAAGAGTGACATTTTAAATTACATTCTATAAATTTAATTATTAAAACATATAAAATATTGCGGATGGATTCTTTTAAAAATGATTTTCCCCGTTTTTGCTTTCCAATTTTTAAATTATGGTCGATATGTACTAATACCGTATAATCCATCTATAACAAACTCGCTTATAATGGAAGCGCGCATACAATGCTATGCAGTAAATTAATTCTGAAATCTAGTAAGTAGGTGCAAAGTTTTCATTTATATTTTGACACCCACCTAGAGGGTTTAGTCAAAGTGACAAAAATCACCAACTTCACTTTGACAGATCCGTTCCGTTCGCCGTTCTCAAAAATGTAGTTTGTCGATATTCGGTTTAACCGTTTTTAAAATAACTTAAGGCATGGGCTTGGCCACGCTGTTTGTACAATTCGATTAATTTTTGTTATACAGGATCTGGAATCAATCAGTGCTTTAGAGATCACCGGTCCTGTGAGACTGCTATCTAGTGAATTATTGCGAAGTGGAAAGTTAATGTATCTGTAGGCTTCAAAAGTGTGTTTAAAACAATCAATAGGGAAATACTAGTTAAAAAGTTAAATAAATTTGAGATTGTGGGTAGTGCAAATAAATGTGTTAAAAGGTAAAAGTTGATAATATATATTGAGATATAAAGCAGGTTAAATTTAGGGTATCTTAAAGTACTCTGTTAGGCAGCTTGATACTTTTGAAAATCGATGAAATCGAATTTTTTGAAAGATCTGCGCTCGTATAAAAATTTTATATCTCGGTAACGGTAGGTCCTATGGGATCACCGTTGGTACAAAAAGGATCACCGTCGAAAAAAAAAATTTTTTTTGTCTGTTTATCCGTTCTCCGTTCTCCGTGTTCGTCTTTTGGGTTTTCCTGAATAACTTTCGAATCGTTGTAGTTACAAAATTGAAATTATATTGAAATATAAGAAATGGCCCTGATCCGACGTCAGTATCCATCTTTTTTTCGCGATTTTCGACTGTTTTTTTGGACCTTGCTATGAAAAACGATAAGTGTCCGAAATTTGAAGCAATCGACTTCATATTGGGCATATATATGAAGCTTTGCCCCATGACGGAAAATAGTGAAAATGGGGGGGCTGGGGGGTCGGGAAGTATTCTAAAAAAATAAAAAATGGCGCGTGCAAGGGTCTACAAAAAACATCATTTTCCAAAAACTGTTTAGGTGACCAAAAAAATTCTCGAATCAGAAGAAGCAGCAGATACGGCTCTATAAAGCTTTATTCTTGACAATTTTTCAAAAATATTCAATTAAATTTCAATCCAATTTCAAATTAAATTAAAAAAAACTGAAAAATGTTTATTTTATATTATTATTTTATATCGCGATATAGCCCACATAGACAGCAAAAACATTTGTATTTAATCACCTATTGTACAGGGTGTTCCCCGATATTTCGTGCTAAATGAGAAACGTGTTAAATTTGCAGATATCATCTTCAAATTTAGCAGAGAAGTAAAAGTCCGTGTCCATATTTAAACGGTAGAAATTGGGCCCTATCATATTTTACCAAGTATTTTTTAAAAATGTTTGAATTTTTTTTTTTTGGTAATTTTAGCTTCCAGAAAAATATGTTTTCCTCCTTAATCGTTCATCCGATTGGCAAAATTCTTTAAGCGGCAGACGCGGGAGATCCAGTTCAATAAAATTTATTTCGGGTCTTTTTTGGATTATATACAGGGTTTTCAAATTATAGGCAAAAATCTAAAAAGCCTAGCAAATTGTTCTTTTACGGAGTAAATTATTACCCGCAAATTAAAAATCGTAAAAAATATGGTTAATTGGTTCAAACGATGTCATAGACCGCATCAAGAGCTACAATTTTTGTATTTGCGGTTTGCGTCTATCACATACGCTGCTCGGGATATTTGGAAAAATCCATATTGCAATCGTTATTTCGGGGGCTGTCAACACATGATGACGCGTGGTTTCAGAAAAAACTTATTTTCTCGAAAGTCATTAACGATTTTCTAAAACTTCTTGAACCAGGAAACGTGGAAAATCCAGGGCTCTCACTTCTACTTCGAACAATGATTGAATGGTATACTGGGTGTGTCGTTTATGGGCAAAAAATCTAAAATTTCCTAAAAATTTTCGTTTTTCTTAGTAAATTATTGGCGATAAATGAAAACCCGTTAAAGATGGGATAATTTTATTTGAACAGTATCGTAGACCGTTTCGTATGTGGGGCGTGAGATATTTGAAAAAATATCATTCGACAACGCTATTATGTGAAGATGTGAAGGACAATTTATACAAGGTGCATGCACAATTACATTACATTGATTTTGCGAAAGTTCCATAGTGGTCCGCAGGAGCACGATAGAAAAACAATGCGTCCTTTTAGCACACGAAACCGCGAAGGTCTTTTCATTTATAATAAAAAACTGCTTCGCGCTACACGCTGCGAACTTGCCCCGTGACGACTTTTCGAAAGTAATTTTGTTTTGCCAGTAACAGAAGATTATATTGGAAAAATGAGGAAAAAAAGTTACTAGGGTTAATACGTAAATTAGAAACTGGCTAAAAAAACCAAAGCGATGATAAATAAATATAAAAAATATAAATAAAAATTTTGTTTAGGAATGTCAATACCTAGTGTTGATTATTGACGGTGAACTGAAATTTTCAAATCATGTTTCTTATCTAATTACTTGAAAAGGTTAGTAAAAAAATAAACTTCCTTAAAATCGCAATCGTAAATCGTAATGCACATATTTCTATGGCTTGCTAGGCTTAATATATACATTTTGAGTATTGTCCGACAATCATTTTGTATGTTAATGATAAAGATAAAGCAAGCAAAATCGAGCAATGAGAGTTATGTTAAAAGTTAATATATATGCTAAAATTAGGGACAGGTTAACATCTTTAAATTTTAAAAAGTATCAATCAAATACTAATTATGAATATTTTATTTATATATATAATGTTACATAATATATTACCTAGACATATTAAAAAAAAACTTATGGAAATGGAATTCTTACATATAATACAAGAACATCCATGTTCCGATTGTTAACAGAACTAGAACTCAAAAATCGTTATTCTATAAAGTTTTGACATTATTGTCATGTAATATTAAAGAGACTTCAACTCTAAGAGTATTCAAAAGAAATCTTATTAATAATTAAAAAAACATATTATCAATAATATTCCCACGAAGTTTGGCTAACCTTTCGCCAAACATCTTCATAAATTTCATTTCATAAATCAAATAAATACGGCAAAAAAGATATAAAAGGGAGAACTAATTTCAAGGAACTGGATGCTGTGATAGATACAAAATTGTCAGCGTCTTTTCGGTACTTTTTTGCGAAATCAAAGTTGGCAGGAACGGAATTTCTCTGGCTCTTCGATTTTGATGTTGAGCCTTACGCCCTGTATCTTTTCTATTTGATAACTTAGTTAGTAATAGAATACCATGTAAGTCAAATTCATACATAGAATACAAGAACATCTAATAATATATATGTTCCGATTGGTAATAGAACTAGAATTCAAAAATCATTATTCCATAAAGGTTTCAAATTATATAATTAATTGCCATGCAATATTAAAGAGGCTTCAACTCTAAGAGTATTAAAAAAAAATCTTATTAATTATAAAAAATTAATTGTCAATCATCTAGAGAAAAATAGCCTAGTTACTGTTGGCATTTTAGTGTTATGTAAAAACTGTTATTTGTAACATTTGAAGCTGTTCCACAACTTTAATCTATGTGTGACAATATCATCTTTCATACGTCTTATTCTCAGCATATATTCTGTGAAGTTCAAACACATTTTGTCTGCTTTCTTCTATTAGAAATGACTACAGCTTCCTTCCTCAATTATTGACCGAATTTAGGGTACCACTTTCTGTTGAGGTTAAAAATTATTTGTTTTTTTAAATGAGCAATAGTAAATTATGCAACAAGTGTGGTAAACGGCATTTGAGTCACAAGTTTACTTGGCACGAGCGGAGCGAGTGTTTAATAAACGAGTGACTTATATTATGCAACAAGTATGGTAAACGGCGGAGCGAGTGGTTAATAAACGAGTGTCTTAAAAAGTTTACCAGTTTTTGGATACATTTTTGCAAAACAACACGAGTACATTCACTGATACGAGCGTCAGAATTGACAAACCTCGAAATTCAAGCGGTGCGGTAAAATCTCCGAAAAAATCCAATTGCTCCCAAACCCCTGCGGTAATATCCCGGAAATGTCGGAAGTGGCTCGGGTCCGTGGGACAAGAAACGCACGTGATAAAGTGACGTTTCCCGCACGCTAGATCGGTGTATCATTAGGTAATTTACAAAAGGGAGTAGAAAAAAAAGTTTACCAAACGTGTTGCATACTATACTTTTTCTATGACCGTCAATTTTTGGGTAAATGTTCACAAAACAACCCGAATACATTCACTGACATGGCCTTCAAAATGGACAAACGTCAAAACACCCATTACTCCCAGACTCGAGTGGTAATATCCCGAAAATGTCGGAAGTGGCTGGGATCCGTTGGACAAGAAACGCATGTGATAAAGTGACGCTTCCCGCACGCTAGATCGGTGTATAATTAGGTATTTTATAGAAGGGAGCAGAAAAAATATGTGATAGGATGGTGACAAATTGAAGTTTAATCCATAAAAAACAATTTGACACTATCCTGATAATTTTTAAATTCAACAGTTTCAACGCATTCCAAAAGTGTGGAAATATAGATAGATATAGAGTTCTTGTAATAGCGACCTTGATATGTTTTATGTTATAATACAATTCAAATCTGCTAACTTTTCGGAAAAATCGTTTCCTGTTTTATTTGGAATGCTAACAGTTTATGCAAGCACTTATGAACATTTTACAATTTTTCAAGTATTTAGTAACAAGTTAGTTACTATACTAAAACTTTATATTGTCTTCTCTGCGCTCCGCTCGTGCTAAATGAAACCTGTGACTTAAATGGCGTTTGTCAAATTTGTCAAAATTATAATCAATATTATATATTATTATTATATCTCCACATAAATGACCTTTATCATTTCTTGGCCCCCAATCAGTGCGTGATGTTTGCCGACGATACATCCTTTACTACATCTGCTAAGAGTATCGAGGAGTTGTCCGTTAGGGTTGGCATGTTGGAGGACAGGGCTAATGTCTGGTTCGAAAATAATTATCCTAAATTAAATTTAGACAAGACCCAGAGTATTGTGTTTTCCTCCAATTGCTTGGTAAATAGTGAACAGTCCGTCAAGTTGCTTGGCATTAGGATCGATGATAGTCTAAATTGGAAACAACATATCTCAGACCTGAAAAATAGATTGTCCAGCAACATATTCGTTCTTCGACGACTGAGAGGCCTGATAGGAACAAGGACTCTGCTTATGGTCTATTTTTCTTTGTTGCATTCACACTTATGCTATGGCACGATACTGTGGGGTGATTCCTCAGCTGCTGTGGAGATTTTTAGAATGCAGAAAAGGGCCATTCGAGTCGTTGCTAATATAGGATATATTGACCATTGTCAACCTTATTTTAAAAAATTCAAAGTGATGCCCCTTCCTTGCATCTATATCTACTACCAGTTATTAGAGATACAGAGAACGAAAGGAAACTTTAGCGCTAATTTCCGATTGCCATGCCTATTCAACTCGTTCGGGGGATATCCTTAGACGGCCTAGGTTTAGACTGAGGAAGTCTGAGAACAACTCATTGAACCTGAAATTGTATAATGTTTTGCCAGGTACCGTGAAAAAGATGAGCAATAGAAAATTTAAACATACTATTAAAGAATTCCTGCAACGTCATTGTTTTTACTCCCTGCGAGCATACATTGACACTGTCACTGGTATTGATGCGCTATAAAACTGTATAGTACTGTCTAATTTTGTTTGTATTAGATGTGTGTTTTTATGTTATTTATTAATTTGATTTTATTGCACTTGAATATCACTTCTGACTTGTTACAATTGCATGTCCCTTTTATACGAAACAGAGTCAATAAATGAATCTATCTATCTATCTATCTATATTACTCATAATAAGAAAATAATGTAAGCATGGACGTCATGACCATTAATTCCGATTTTTTCCCTCCACAACTGAAGCCATTAAAAATGTTTTTTAATAATTTTGACCCTTTTTTGATGTTGAGACCCTTTTTTCGCTAATATTTTAGAATATTTGTTGCTCTTGTCTCATTTCTAAGATATTTTATTTCAGGCTTATAAACTCGGAAATACGGGAGACGTACGTGAGCAAAACCGACATATTGCAACAGTTTCAAACACAATTTCGCTCGCAACCGTTTCGCGACGAAGTGATTAGGATTTTCAAAGACCTGAAGGATCCCGCTCCCAAGGACTTAAGAACAAAACGCAGTGTCGTTTCAGGCGGGGCCGGGTATAATTTTCTAACGCAAAGCGAAGAACCCCACGTGGAATTTTTCTTGGAGGAGACTGAGGAGGAGGCGAGGAGGAAAGCCTCTAACGGGAACGCTCCCGGAGGGGATTCGTGGATATGGGTCACCAGTTCCAGCAGGATACCGGTAAGCGCTAGCAGTTTATAATAATAATAATAATAAACTGTCTTTAGTGATAATCAAAATATTACAATATAAGTAACAATGCAAGAGTGGCGACATTCGCAATTTGCGCTCTTCCATGTAACCACAAGAACAACAGCACCAACACCATAATTGTCAACAAAATGCACACCTGTATATACATCGTAAACAGAAGAAATAGACGCACATCATAAACTCATACGCTTTTGCTAGTTACGGGCGGGTCTAATAAACAATATTAATGCTTTTTTGAAGGACTTTATTGTAGGGAGGGACGTTATAGCGCAAGGAATTTTATTAAATAATTTAACTGCGTTATAGCTAAAATATTTCTGGAAAGTTACCGAAGTGTGTCTAGGAACGCAATATCTTAAACAATGACGGGTGTATCGATTATGAATATCATTTCCTGTGTAAAGTTTATCAAACAAGTTACGATGGGGTCTTATAGGAGTTCAGTAAAAAAACAAAAGTGGCTAACTGAACTTCATATCGGTCCTCCAGCTTGAGCCAACCCGAATCAGAGAGGCATTGTGAAATATGGTCATACTTTCTGAGATTGTAACTAAAACGAATACAAGCATTCTGAACTCGTTGGAGTCTCTCTTTATCTCGATTAAGTATAGTTGGCCAATAGACAATACTGCAATAAGGGACATGGGATAAAATTAACATATCACAGAGTTTAAGTTTGACTTCTTTACTGAGAAAATGTTTATGAATATACAATGTCCTCAACTTATAAAAAGATTTTTGCAACACCAAGCCAACATGCTTAGAAAACCGTAAGTCACCGTCAAACCATAATCCTAAATTTTTACACCCGTCTGAAGAAGCAGAGATCATTTAGTGTAATCTTAAAAGAGGCGTTAACAATAACATCTGCGTTTTGTTAGTATTCAATAAGATTGATGAGATTTACAAAATTTAAGAAAATTAGAGAAGTCAGCTGTATAAACTGAGAACAAAATGGGTCCCAGAATACTCCCCTGGGCTACACACAGTACCTTTTATCCCGAAGAATTCCAGTTTAGCTAGGAGAAGGAAATGATCCACGGTGTCGAACGCTTTGCTATAGTCCAAGAGTATGAGACGAGTTTAATTTAGAATCCGCTGCTCTCAATAAATCATCAGTAACATGAAGCAAGGCAGAAGTAGTGCTGTGAAGAGGAAACCAGGTTGAGTGTCTGGGAGGATTTTGTTATCGCATAGGAACTGACGAAGTTGTTTAGCTGCAATTTTTTCAATCATCTTTGAGATGGTCGACAGCAAACTGATTGGTCTAAAATCGTTAATGCTACTTGGATAACTCTTTCTTTGGGACGGGTATAAATTCAGCCTGCTTCCATGAGCCCGGAAAATATTGGTCAGCATACACTTGCCAACAAGGAAAGTGATATGATCAACTAAATGTGGAGTAGTCAAAAGAATCATTTTTATATCAATATTCTCTGAGCCATGACCGTTAGTTTTAATAGTAATTAAAGTTTTATTAACTTCCTCAGAGTAAACAGCAAAACGGAATGAATTAGAACCAAATTGTTTATTAATATAATTTGCCTACAAAAACCCAGGATCAATACCACCAACAGCTTCAAAAGAAGTAAAAGCAACATTAAAACTATTAGGTTGGACAAAATTGTTTTCAAGAAGGATTACTGTGCACTGGAAGTCTCCTCAAAGTACGCCAAAAATTTTTAGGATCAGCTTTAAATGTATTTGCCAAATATGCCCCTTTCTCGGTTCTCCCAAATTTCGTAATTCTCTATACCCGTTTAAGTCGTTTGTATCTTAAACGTTTTTAAGTTTTATTAAAAGTTTAAGGTTTTCGGTAAGCCAAGGGGCTGGGCGTCTTTTAATTCTAACTGTTTTTAATGGAGCATGAATATCAAATAAACAATTCATATTATTCGTAAGAAAGTCAACTTGTACGTTTATATCATCAAAAGAGTATAAAATATCCTAGTTAATTGCTCTGAGACTATTCATAAACAATTCATTATCGAATGCCGAAAAATCTCTAAAGTTTCGACGATCTTTCTGCAGCTTGAGATTGCAAGAAATCATACAGTGATCTGAGATATCACTCATATCATGAACTTCAATATTGTCACATATGGATAAATTAGAGGTGACCAGTACATCAAGAAGCTAATTAGAGTTTCCAGTAACCTGAGTGGGCTGTGTAACTAGCTGCTCCATGCCGAAGTTGGTGAGAGTATTTGAAAATCGAAAATAAGCGGGAGTATTAGTTTTTAACAGATCAACATTGAAATCTTTGCCAAAGAGGTCTATGAACTGTTCCCAGACACAACGTTTTCCCTTCGGTGTTAATAGACAACCATAATTGTTCTAAAATATCGTTATTAATATACACGATATATCTATAGCTCTAACTTTAAAATGACTGTGATAATGAAATGCTATTCCTCAACCACGTGTTTCACGGTCACGCCTTACAATACTATAACCATCAATGTTTAGACCATCATTAAGTACCAGAGAGAGTATATTATTAATAATTGAATTAAGCTAGAGCTCTTTTAATTTCAAATAAGTTTCCACACTTAATCTACAGCTTTCATTTGATTTTGTTTTATTTCAAAATATAAATCTGCACAAAAATAGTACTTTCAAATATCGTTTTAAATTTTTTTTTATTATTGTAGACAGTGCCAATGATTTGCAGAATCAGATATAGCTCCTGATATTAAAATGCCATCGATGACCATACTGGATGTCATTAATGTAGATTTAACAAAAGCCTTTGACAGACTAGATCACAGCATTCTGTTAAACAAATTATCTAGAATTGGATTTTCCTCCTCTTTACTCACGTTGACGGAATCATACTTAACTAACCGCAGGCAGCACGTTTTCGTGAATGGTTTCAGTTCGAGCGAATATAATGTAACTTCGGGTGTGCCACAGGGCTCCGTCCTATTGTTCATTCTATTTATGAAAGACTTTATACGGATGACTTAACACTGTATGCTGTCATAAATCATTTTCTTGATTGCATTCGACTGCGACATGATCTGAAGATTCTAAATCTGTGGTGTAACAACAACATGATGCCTCTTAACATTAACAAATGTAGTGTCAGGACTTACTCTTTGAAATCGTCCCCAATTCTCTTTGACTACAGCATTGGCTCAACATCTCTTGCTAGACCCGACTCAGTGCGCGACCTAGGTGTAAAATTCGATAAAAAGTTGTTGTTTGTCGATCACATCGAGTCACATCTAAAACTTTAGGTTTTTTGGTCAGATGCGGTAGGGATTTTGCTTCACATAACTCGATAAAGCTTTTGTTTACCGCTTTTATTTGCTCGAAGTTAGAATATGCCTCTGCCGTCTGGTCGCCTGGTTATAGCGTTCGTTCGCAGAACTTGCAGTCCATTCAAAAGCGATTTCTAAAATATATGTATTATAAAACTCATGCATCTTATCCTGAACAAGGTGTTCCCTGAATTTGTTTTCGATGGACTCTCTGCAGACCAGGCGACAGTATTTGTCACAAGTTTCGTTATACAAGCTGATTCATAATTCGGTAAATTGTCCTGACTTACTTGAGCAGCTGAATTTCATGGTTCTGCGGCTAGCATTGCGATACTCTGCTACCTTTTACCTTCCCACCGCGAGGACTAATGTCTTGAAGTTCTCTCCCTTATATAATATGTGCAACGTATCCAACCGTAGCAGCGATTTAGACATTTTTAATTGCAGTTTGAGTAGCATTAGGCTAAAATTCTGTTGTGCCTAGTCTTCTTGAAATTTTGTTGCCTTCGCAGTTGAGTAATTTCCTTCATTAGTATTTTTCTTATGTTCATTTTGTTGTGGATCATCTTTTTTGCAATATTAGTGTATTTGTGTGGTGGTGTTTATACTTTGTAAATAATTTTGTAATTCTGAATAAATATAGTTGGTGTTCTCCTGCTCTATAATCGGGTTTGATCTCCTGTTGAGCAGTGTATGTAAATAAATAAATAAATAAATAAAAAACCCTACTTCTTTGACTCAAGATGGCGATTTTTGGGCCAAATTAATGACTATCTTCAGTTCAATCAATTAATATTCTTTCTTATCTTAGGTGAGTGAATGAACATTCGAATAGGGACATACTGTGGTCGAAAAAGGTATGGATATCTGTTCCCAGACGTATAGGGTGTTTTTAGAAAATCGCTGGAACTTGTTATAGGAAGTTTTTTGCTTCTATGGAAACATTTACAGCGCATTTTTTAAGCAGAATTACTTAAATATATTCGTTTACGAATCAAGCTGCTTTCTTTCTTGTTTTTTTTCTTTCTAGGAAATACTTTTACTTGTTTTTTTGAATTAAGATAATTATAATTATTCTTAGTCTACCTTTGTAAATTGTGATGTTGGTTCCTCATGTTAGAGTACCTTGTAAATAAAAAAAAAATTAAATAAATCAAAATACTAGATAACGATGAAGACAAACAGTAACTTTGACCACTTTCATTTTAATACAGAAGACAAATGCGTGGCCAATTTCTGATTTTGCTTGTAAAGACACTAGGTTGTAGTTCAACCTTTCAAATAAATTTGAAAGTTTTGAAAGTAATTATGCACCAATCTAGCGGGCGAAAAGTATAATTTTACCAAGTCAGTTTCGTTTCCCACGTCTCCGAGCCACTTCGGACAATTCCAGGATATTACCGCACGGGTTTGGGGGCCAACCGAATGTATCCAAAAATTAACGGTCGCAGAAAAACGTTTGGTAAACTTTCGAATCACTCTTTTATTAGGCTCTTGCTCCGCTCCTCTCAAATAAACTCTTGATTCAACTGCCATTTTCCACAATTGTTACACTTTGTCTTCTAACTGATAGGGAGTTCATAGCTTTTTGGTCACTTTTTCTCAAACTGATTCGTATTAATTTTAAGTGGCGGTTTTCTTTCAGGATATTGGAAGTCATACAAATTGCTTGCTGTCTCTGCATTTTTTCGGCTTTTATAA